CTGTTTATTTAACGCGAATAAATAAATTAAGATAATAGGTACTAAACTACAGTTTCATAATTATTTATTCCATTACACTACACACTAAAATCAATTTTAAACAAATTAATTTTAAGAAATTTAACAAAATACAATAATTTACATCTTTTGCACGATTCTGAAAAAATATGCACAACCAGATAATCATCATGAGGATTACATTTGTTGAGTAGAATTGCCATTCCAGGTGTTATTATCATCATCACTCTCCTGATTGTCCTGTAAGCGGTGTACGTTTCCTTGTCGGCGTACAACACTACTCTCTCCTAATTTTCTCCTTTGCATTCTACAATGAAATATTAATATATACAGTTGTTGCAAAAGGTACTGGCAGTGTAGGGGGTAGGTAGATTAGTGCCCTTTTCAATTTTCTACCAATTCTTTCAAAAATTCGAAGGACAGAAACAGTAAAAATCTCCCCGCGAATATACAGGGTGTCAAAAAAATAAAGTCAATGATTTATTCGGTTTTATTGCCCTACTTCAATTAAAATTAAGGCAGTTAGTGCACAATCCTACCTGGACGTTTCATGTTGGTTAACTGATCCACTTTCGTGCTGCACATTTGAATCTTTGTTCCTTCTTTGGCCACTAGTGCCAGCATCACCGCCGAACAATTTTTGTTTTAAATAACCTAAGAAATTTAAAATTGGCGCGATAAATGACCAAAACATTGCCATCCAAGATCCATTCTGGGTGCTAACCGTTCCGTCTTGCAACGGAAGTATTAAAATCACAGCATTAGGTACCAACTGCAACTCCACTAACGTATCATTGTTATTGGCAGCGGTAAATTCTCGTCGAGGAAATGTGATTGACAATGTAAAACTTTGGTATGGCAAATTAAGATTCTCCTTAATAAAATCTCGGACGCTTCCTAAAGTGCAGTTACTAGAAAATTCGTGAGTATGTGCAGAACCGTCTGGACACCGAAACTGTAGCCTTGCAGTGTTGCTGTTCTGCACGGCTTGCTGTACGGTCGGTTGAGTGCTGGATGTAGGCGAATTTGAAAACTTAGCGGCCCGCTCTGCCTTATCTTGCGCAATTTGGGCAAGCACACGCTGTCTAGCTTGTATCTGTTCCTGCTTCTCTTTATTTCGTTCCTCCATGAGGTCCTTTAATTCCTGATCTTGTTGCCATCTTTTCAGTTTTTGAACATCCTGTCCAAGCTTACGGCGTTCAATTTCCTTCACACGTGATTGCTAAAAATGAGAAATGTACGTTCTTCAATTTAAATGAGGAGACTAAATTATTACACCCTCCTCCTCGGCCTGCTTTTCTAAACGTTTTTGGCTGATAAGCTCTTGTGCTCTCTCAATCTTTTGTTCTGGGGTCAGCTCGTCTGATTGATGGTTAACCACTGGTTCACTGGTGGAACTTGGTAATGAATTTGCAGTGGGAGCCTCTTGGGTGACAATTTTCTCTTGGTCTACCAGATCTTGTGATGAACTTGCTGTTAATAATAAAATATATAGCTACAATGAGAAACACTACCACTCTTACCAGGTGTCGTTAGTACACCGTGCCTTTGTAAAATTTCCTGTAACTGTTGTAAAAATACTGCTTTATGGAGGACATCAGTTACGACCTCTAATGGACTACCACTTTTACCAATAAAGAACAATGAGGGAACGGATGCTTGCTTATCTATACAATATTAAGCAAATACACAGGCTTACTTTGTAAAAACACCACAAAGGATACATATTTGAGTAAACTGCTGATGTGGTACAGAATTTTCCTCTACTTTAATAGCAACAAAGTGATTGCTTTCTAATTGTGTGGATACCTCTTCATTTTCAATTAGACTAGTAAATTCTTTCGATTTTTCGTCTTTACCTGAAAATTAATACAAGAAAAGGAATTTAATTGAATTTTGGATATTTGTCATCTATCTCACCTTCAATGTACACGACAAATACAGTGCCCTTTGTTTTGGAGACCGTAACCGCTTCGGCAATATTTCCTTGGTACCAGCGCATTTTTTCTTTACTTCTTTTTCATTAAAAACTATTAATTAATTGAAGAAAAATTTTTCATGACGATGACTTGACAAACAGATGATTTAACCGAAGCATTGCCACCAACATGCAATTCCTAAATGTCACCAGGTGAAATAAAGCACAGTATACACCTTTGTTTTAAAGGCCCGATTGGACCTGAACGTTACTACGTCTATTGACAGATGTCCTTAATATTACAAGTTTGGAACTATATCTAAACATTTAATTTGACAGGCATTTGAAATCGTACATTCTATGAGGTTAGTCCAAGCTTTTTTGTAGATTATTTAATTACCTATTGCGGAAATGAAATTAAAATTTGTGAATGTTTGTATTTTCGCAATATCTCTGCTTAAAAAACAGATATCTAAATGCAGTTTTTACTGATATACTCATTTTTTAATCTTGTTTGATAATATCATATAAAATTATAAGTACCTATCGTTCCATTTGAAATTTTTAAAAAAACCCTGCAAAACTGAAAGAGGAGGGCTATGGTTGGTAGAAATTAATACCTTTCATTAGAGTACCATGAAGGATAAAACTAGTTCCACCCCCTTCCCCTCCAACCCCATACTTTGATAAGAGGGCAGAAAGAAGGGCAGTAGTTGGTAGAAAACGGTTCCTTACGTTAAGACATTAATTAGAAAACACTGAGAGATAAAAATAATTGTTAACCCCTCCCCCTCTTCAGGCCCGGTCGCTCCCTCATTTCGAAAAAGAGTCGCACGGGAAAATTATACTTTGTACAAACCAATTTATTTCGATGAGACCTTTCATTAGAATTCCATGAAGGGTAGACCATGCCCCCCCCCCCCTTCTAAAGTTTAACTTGGCACTAAAGCCTGCGTATGCAAAATCTGAGACCAATTGGTTGTCGTATGTAAAAGTTATGCACGTTTTCTTTCAAAAACAGCATCTCAGGAAATAATTCGTGGGGGGGGGGGGGCCTTTTAGACAGCGAAATTTGATGGCCGATGATGATGACCTTCAAGGTATAGGCTACCTACTGCAGGACTCTAGGACCATTCCCCTAGAAGTAGTTCAAAACGGTAGAAGTGGGTCCGGACGGACGGACAAAACGCAAACAATAGCACATTTTTCTTAATTCTTAAAAATTGCGCATGCGCAACTCAACTTTTGTATTTGCGCTATTCCAATGTTTAAGAATTAAAAAAAAAATGTGCTATTGTTTTCGTTTTGTCCGTCCGTCCGCACCCACTTCTGCCGTTTCGAAGTACTTCTAGGGGAATGATCATAGAGTCTTGGAATTTTTTGCAGTAGGTAGCCTATACCTTGAAAGTGTGCCAGAGAGCCATCAAATTTCGCTGTCTAAAAGGGGGGCTCCCCCACGAATTATTTCCTGAGATAAGAAGTGAAACGTGCATAACTTTTACATACGACAACCAATTGGTCTCAGATTTTGCCATGGATTTTGCATACGCATGCCTTTAGCGGTGCCAAGTTAAACTTTAGAAAACGGGGTGGGGGGGGGGGGGGGGGGAGGGTAAAACACATGTTCTACCCTTCATGGTATTCTAATGAAGGGTCTCATCGAAATAAATTGGTTTGTATTAACTTTTCCGTGCGACTCTTTTTCGAGATGAGTGAGTGACGGGGCCTAAGGAGGGGGGGGGGGGGTAAAAATTAATTTTATCTCTCATTGTATTCTAATTAAAGGTCTCAACGAAAGGAACTGTTTTTACTGCCCTTCTTTCTGTCCTCTTATCAAAGTACGGGTGGAGGGGGGGGGGAGTCGAACTACTTTTATCCTTCATGGTACTCTAATGAAAGGTCTCAACGAAAGGAATTAGTTTCTACCAATCATAGCCTTCCTCCTCGACCTCTTATCGTGCATTTTGTATGTAGGTAGGTACCTAACCCAAATAAAAGTAAAACTAATGCTGAATTTGAAAAAACTGTATTGCGCATGCGCATTCTCAAATTTTTTATTTGCTAAGATATTTAAATTTTGTATGTAGACACCTGAGTAAAAGTAAAACCAATACCGATTCAAAAAAATTGTTTTACAAGCTATGCTGATCTGGTGGGACAGAATCAACCCCTTAAGCCTTAAGGTGTGTTGTAAAAATGATGTAGGTGTGAAGATCTCGAGGATCGTTGTGTATTCAGTTGTATCGGATTTTCTATTAACTCATTTGGAGTATAGAATCACAACTCGCTAAGAGATCTAAATTTGTAGACGCATTAATTATGCATTTATTTAATATCGTTCTCTTTTCGCGCCCAGCAGACATAGGAACGAAGGGTTTTAAGGGGCAACTTGTTGAATGGCGTTTTTTGTCCCTTAGTTTTGCAAACGGAATAAATTATAATAAACTAAAAATTTATTGCATCGGTCGCCGACTAAGCGAAGAGGTAGATAGGTATACCCTAAATTTGATTATATACGTTTTATATTTATGGCATTTAGGTACGCTTACCAAGAGACGGGGAAAATAAAGGGGCACTGTATGCCGTAATAAAAATTTATAGGGCGCCGTTCTATTGCTTTTTGAGAAGGTTTCCGTGTGTTTTTCAACTACTAGAATATTCCCATGACCCGTAATCTCAAATTAGAGATCCTTTGCAATTTCTCGCCCAAAATCGTGATTTATATTGCTCTCGTACGTCTAATTATAACAAATTTTGCTATTACGTTATTTCCAAGATTAATTGTGCCCCTAACTTCTGAGAAGGATCGTGTAATTGTTCTCAGTAGTCAACTCCAAGGGAAATTTAATTTTGGCTCCCAAAAACCATGCTTTAGAGTAGGTACGAGATGAATGTGATAGTAATGAAGTAAATGGACGATAATTACGAAAATAAATGCGCAACAACTAACCGAAATGTAAAAATTAAAGTAAATTGTAATTGCGTTATAAGCTTTTTTACAAATATCAATAAAATTGCACTTGCCCAGGGGTAGAGACGCGCCGACGCATGCCAAGCAGCCGTCGTGACGAAGGGCGTCTAAAGCTCATACGACAACGTACTGCTTGGCCTAATGTTTCATTTTCTGTATTTATCAACGAATTTTGAAGATTTCGTGTAAATAGAATTTATTATTGTTAGTTAATTAGTTCACATGCTATTGGTAAGTAACATATATTTAGTTCAGTACTTTGCGCCCTGTTGCTTGGGCACGATAATCAATTACGAATAGCTGTTATCATTATAATTGTCATCCCGAATTATTTGTATGCGACTGTGCACGATTGACTCCAATAGGGGATGAAATGGCCAACCTACACTATTAAAATCAAGTATTTGTTCGTCTCTTCATTGATCTTTTTTGACCAATCAATCGAATGGTAATTGGTAATTTATAAGCGGTAGGTAACGTTCGTAGAGAGCGATCTGAAAAAGTCAAGATGCCTTATTGACATGGGAACCCCCGAATGCGAACGCGGATGGTGGCATAATGGTATCTTCTCAGAAACTAGATCAATAGACAAGCATTTTGCGAGTCTTGTCACCTTAAAAAGTCAATCCAATAAATAAATGGCGATTCATTTTGGATCACTTCAAACCAATTAAACGTTGTTTTATTTCATTTAATTTTTGCTACCAAAATAATAATAAGTACTGAAACAGTGCAATCGGCAATCTCAATTGGTTCGCTTCCTTGCAAGGTTTCGAATCTTTCGGCATCTTTGTCAAAAATTCCAATTCTAACGATTGGAACGACAAAACGACGTCGAATGGGCATTTAAAAATTTGTCGTTAACTCGGCGACACTTACGATTTCGATCGTGGTTAATTAAATTCCGCACCTTATAAATGATGTGGGAGTGACACGATTAAATTTAGGTAATTGAGTTCTGAGCTACCACATTTATCAATTAACTCGAAACACGTACATTTTAGATTTCCAAAATGATCTCTTGCAACAAAAAATATTTTTCTCGCGATCTCGCCCCTTTCAAAGAACCGTTACAGCTTCTACACGTTAGCAAATTGGAAGTACTGTTACTATGACGCCCATGTTGCATTTCCATTTAAAAAATGCTTTGTTGCCCGAGGAAAACTAAAAAGTTGAGAATTAATAGCATGTCGTGTTTCAAAAACAGAAGGGAAGTTTAGATTGATCACTTTTTATGAATTATGATACAAGACAAAGAAACTATTAATCAGTCGCGTAAGTTTAAAGTAATTAACTATACAGTACACAGCAAAAGTCCCAAAATGTATTTAAAAACCAGTAGGTATATTCTAATTGTACCGGAGATACCTTCACGTCATTTCATTTGGTGTTGCATTTTTAGCGCATTTCCACACAAATAAAAAAAACGCGCTTGGATCACTTTGTCCGTCCGTCTCCGTCCCTACGCCTGTGTCGATACTAGAGCTTATCTTAAAAGGTATTTTTTTGTTTCTCGCTATTTGGTTCATTATGGTGTCGAGACTGCGTGTATTACTAAAAAAGTTATAATAAAGTAGATACCACAAATTTATGCGTTTGCCCTTTATTGTGCCTATAATATACCATGTATTACACTGTGGTGACTTTAATATTAACTTTTTCAAAGAAAGTTATGTAACTGGAAGGAAACAATTTGTGCAATATTTAAACTCTAAATCTGAGGAAAGCATGGGGGTGCCACAGGGAAGCGTCTTGGGCCCCTTAATGTTTTTACTATATTGTAATGGTCTAGAAATGTAGTGAAAGCTTTTTACCATACCAATTTTGAATTCAATATAAATACTTACGCCGTTGGCTGCTGGGGCGAGATTCACCTGCTGCAAAAAGAGTATTTATTATACAGAAAGGAGCAATAAGGATGTTTGGACTCAGCTTTAGTCAATCGTCAAATTTTAGGGTAGGATTCTTCTTATATGGATTACACATGTGCAACGCTAACTTTCTCGTGATTTTTACGAAATTTTAACAGAAGTTGCATCTTATAAATGGAAAATTAATGCACACTGAGATCTAACTTTCTTTCTATCTAGAAAATTTTAACAGAATATGGTACCTATAAATATAAATTGAGCGCATATATTAAAAAATAGATTGGGCATGCGCAAATTCAACTGTTTAATGTATGGACCCATTTTTCTAAAATTTTAACAGAAGATGCGTTAAAAAATCGTTTCTGTCTTATACAAAGACAGTTATAGCAAAAAATATATGTTTTTGCATAGTGATCAAATTACCGGACTTTTTTTGAGGAAAAATCGTATGAAAAGTGATACTTTTTTTCACGATTTATACTATGCGTTTCCGTGGCGTTTAGTTCTATAATTCATGAAAAAAAGACACTTTCAACACGCGTTGTACACGAAATTTTTTTGCATAGTGATCCTTAATAGCCCATAATTGAATAATAGCATTGACATTCGCGATTTACTGTCACTCAAAAATTAAGCTGTTGTTCATAGACAGGACTAAACGCCATGGAAACGCATAGTAAAAATCGTAAAAAACAGCACCACTTTCCATACGATTTTTTTACAAAAAAAGTCCGGCAATTTGATAACTATGCAAAAAATAACTACACTAACTAACTAACACCTCCCTGAAAATGAAATCATAACGTATAATTGAGAGGCACGGTAATAGTACCCATTACATACACCCGTGCGTAATGAAAAAATTAGAATCGATCATGCACGTTTAGAAGTGACAATTATCTACAAATTCCAAAACTGTCAACAGCTTTCGTTTTGGGTTTTCCCTTAAAAATTTGTTTCTAGTCTATAACTTTTGATTGAGAAGTCTAATCGAAAAAGTACGAATTGTTTTGGATTCTACGCACCAAAATTAATAAGAAAAACCAAAATTAATAAGAAAAAGTGTTTTTCCGAGAAATTTTGGTGCAGTCGATTTTTGGTAAAAAAAGGAAGGTTATACACTGCCTTTTTTTTGGTCCGAAAAAATAATTGTCTCAGATCGACCCGGAAAAAAATTTTCTTATAGAATGTGGCCTGTAGAATCCATAATTTCACACAGTTCCAAGATTGGGCTACTAGTTCAACAGTTACAGCCTTTTGATTGAGAAGTCTTAATCGAAAAAGTACGAATTGTTTTGGATTCTACGCACCAAAATTAATAAGAAAAAGTGTTTTCCCGAGAAATTTTGGTGTAGTCGATTTTTGGTAAAAAAGGAAGGTTATACCAAAGAGTAATTAAGTACCTATTCTTTGGTTATACTATGCCTTTTTTTGAGGCCCGAAAAAAAAATTGTCTCAGATCGACCCGGAAAAAATTTTTCGTATAGAATTTGGCCTGTAGAATCCATAACTTCACACAGTTTCAAGATTGGGCTACTAGTTCAAAAGTTACAGCCCTTTGAATTTTCTTTCTTATTTCCATTACGAAATTAACGGAGGTCGTAGAAAAAATATGGTACGTAATTCGGTTATAATTTCGGTATTACAGGTTCGTGGAATTGCCGCACTCTGCCGCTTCACGACATCGTGTGCAGTTTTGCTACTCACACACTATATGACGTAATATACCGTTTTTCGCTTCTCATAATTTTACTCTCTTGCCGTTTATTGTGCTTATACATTTTATATATTTATTGCATTTTGATTAATCAAAACTGAAACTTGCTATACTTTAGCGATCATTTTGAATCAATTATTATGCATCCTTACATTGTTTATTTCTAAACAATTTTCCTAAAATTTCAGCTGAAAATACTCTTATAACAGCAAATTGAAATCACGTGTCAAAGAGTAACTAATTTTTCCAGACAAAAGCTGTTAACGTGGAAATGCGCTTTTTGTAAATCCAAAATTTAATTAAATAATGGGTTAAATACATTGTTAGAAAAAATAAAATTGGCTCTGTTGGAAACCACGGTTAACCCTTTGGGTCATCACTTCTTGAAAAAATAGATTGCGCATGCGCAAACCCAACTTTCTTATTAATGAGCGTTCTTTTCTGAAATTTTAGGAGAAAGTGCTTCCGAAAAGAATAAAAACGGACAGGGTGGTTCAAATTCGTGGCTATCACCATTGTGATCTCCGCAACGGTGCGAGATATAGTGTCGATTAAACGAGAGCAGAGTTGCCTTTTTTTGTGATTAAATAAACGCATTTTAAATTTTCGAAAAATCTTAGAAAACAATTGAGATATCACCGAAAGGCTGACAATATCATATTTTTAGCACCTTTTATGTGTAAGTGGATTTATAAAGACACTAAACCCTCCCCATACTTCTTTTAATTAAAAGAAGTATGGGGAAGGTTTAGTGTCTTTATAAATCCACTTAGTCAATTTCACCCCGTTTTGAGTCGTTATAAGATGGATAGCTACCAATTACCTTTTATGTGCACTGTTTTTTCTCTTACCTATCACAAATTTCCATAACACGCTAGATGTAGAAGCTACAGCCTACTACTTCCTTATTTCTTATGGGCGCCATATTGGATTTTTACGGAATGTCAAAATTTAGTCACAAATTCACAATTTTGCCCCCATTTATCCTACACCGTTCCGGAGATCCCACTGGTGAGCCATCTAATTAGTGATCCCAATTATGTACATTATATTATATATAAAGTAGGTACGTATATAAATCTCAAGTTAACAATCTTCATTGGCGTGATGGGTTTTGAATCTAAACTGTATTCATAATCATACGTGATGGTACAAACTCGAAAACTAACTCTTTCAAGTTATAACGCCTTGAAGAAAAATAGCAACCGCATCAATTCCTATCAGTTTTTCTAATATTTATTGTGGACGTTAGGGGTAGTTAGAGATTTCCGTCACGTCGCCGACTATTGCACTCGTAAGGCCAATAAGTAACAATCCCATTGCTACAATATTCTCTTTTTCACTACTTCCTTTAGAGAACCTAATTTAAAATACTATAGACGCCTATTTCTACATAATTCAATTAGTGAGAAGTACCTATCCGTATAATAAGCAATTATTATCGATAATTGCGAGTCTCTGCTATAACCCTTTTATTCTATTTAAAGCTACTAAATTTCTTCTATTTCTATCTTATAAATGGTAAATCGGGTAGGTATATTAAATTCTACAATCAAACAAATTTTTTTCCTTCAAATTTTGGCTTTAACATTGAAATTTCTGTAGTTGATTACCGGAGCACAAAAAATAGCGTGCCTATATACCACAGGAATGAAGGGCGTCCTACTCCCTCGGGTGCTTGTTCCTCTCAACTACATTTGTGCACCCTCGGGATTAAAGCACGCACTTTAGTCCCTTGGTATATATATACTATTTTGACATATAGTTTTTGAGTGCGACCGCCATCTTGAATTTCTTTAAATTACAATATAAGTCATGTGATACGTTATTAAAAAGGTTATGTTTTTCTCTTTCTTATTACCTTAAACTTGTGTTTTGTTAAATTAGAAAATAATTCAGAGAATTTTTAAAAAAAATGAGCTTTTCCGTATTGATTCTGATTTAACACAGGCACTTTACGACTATCGGGATGGTAAGCACTTTAACCACTTCATTCTGATCTAATGTTTTTTTTATTTGTTTAAACCTAGTAACCAACAACCAGACAATTTCTTATTTTATTCTTATTGTAAACTAACCTATTTCAATACTTACGTATTATAACCTAGTGATAGTATGGTGCTTAGCATCTTTAGGCTCAAGTGCTATGGCTGATTCTGCATTTTGAACGATTACCAGGCTTTCGTAAACCAATTTTCATAAATGTCTATAGAAACCTATAACCGTCCAATAGAAAAAAAGGTATGGTTTCGTTGGTTAGCGACGCACAGTAAACCTTTGCTTCTATTGGCTAATTCTTAATTACCTAATGATAGCGAACAACTTAGGGTGGGTTTATACAATAGTTATCATTAGTTCACTATCATTAGATACTTAAGAAAAAGCCAATAGGAACAAAGATTTATTACACGTGGCCAACCAGCGAAACCACACCTTTGTTTTTATTGGATATAGGGAAAATACGGACCGTATGAATCGAATTCTCTCAAAATTGTGTTTGTATGTATTTTGTATTCCTTTCCTACCAAAATTAAGACTAAAGTGATTATTTTGAAATGAAAGTTCTGCATACACATTTACTTAGGAAATTGAGTTACCAGAATGGCGCGACTCTCATTAAAAATATGCGCTTCAAGAGTGCTGAAAAAACTGCTCGTTTAATTCCACTGAAATTGGACCAAACTAATTCCAACGTTCGTGCTGTGATTACTACGATAATAGATGACGTATATAGTTACCCGGAGATTTATTTGTAATTAACTAATTAATCCTTTCATAGTGCGCACAAAAAGATCCTTTGGTTACATACGTACCTACACTAAACAGAAAAAGATCGTATCGAGTTTGAAGTAAATTATAATTAAATATCACTCCCTCAACCCCGAGATATAAGACAAAAGAATTTATTGCTGATCATTTGGAACATTTTTCACAGCTTGCTTGAGGTGGAGTGAAGTACCCATTTTGTTTTCGCCGCCATAGCAACGTAAATGGTCCATCGATCAATATGTATTTGGGTCGCAGCTTTCTAGACTGCAGCAAAAGCGCATTAAAACCAATACAGTTTGTATTAAATTAAAACTTCCTCAATAGCTAATTAGTCAAAATTAAATTGCGTAATCGTAACACTTTGAAATATTAACTAGTAGCGCCAATTTTTCGTAGACATATTAAATAAGTTTGAACGAGATATAATCAATATTCGCTCAGCGTAGGTACGGCTCTTTAGAAACAATAGGAGGTACCTACTCGTAAAACGAAATCAATTTCGGAAATTGTCACGGTCCAAAAGTCAAAAATGTATCTCTAAAGTAATTCTTGTATAAAATTGGGCTGAATAAGAAACTAATTGTATAATTTGTGCCTCAGATCGGTAATTAGCTTTGAATTGTTCCAGGATGGCTTCAACTCCTTCTCCTCATTTTGAACTTCTCAGCTTCTCATTTGAATGCAAAAAGGAAACCAATTAATTCTTACGTCAATTTATCTACAATTACCAAGTCAAAACTACACGAGTTCAAGTTAAAAATTACAAGACTGAAAAATTTACATCCCTCGTTCTAAAAAGAAACAAAGTATTTTGTTACAGAAGCTTTACTACCTATACCCGACTCTGTTGCCACTATAGTAACAGACACAGGATGATTTTGAAATAGTGCCAAATTAAAGTCTATAGCTGCCGTGTGGATAACGATTTTCTTCTTACGAGATAATTATACGATCACCATCGAACTGGCGAAAACAATCGAAAAATACATTAAGCTTAGCCTTCTCAAGAAAATTTTAAAAGTGGCGCCGTTTAAATTGAGATTTACAAAAATGTCGAAGAGCTGTTCAACCACAGAGGAATCACTCGATATACCGGGAGAATGTGACACGGAAATAGGTAGCCCTACGAAAAATTTTACCGAAATGACCGATGCAACGGATGGAATACCTTCCAGCCCACCCCCGTCTTATGAGCACGTATTAGAAGAGGTTAGTAGACAATATAATAATAAATATTTTCAAAATTAGATCCCATTATGTGGGGGCATTTATGATCTGGAAGCGATCAGTAAATAACAATAAACTCGTAACAGTCTTAAAATAATTTATAACAGTAATTACAATTTATAACATCATCAGAACGCGTCGATGTAGGAACTGCCTGGAAACTCAATGCGGTTTGCTTATATAGCAAACAACAATATTGTTATAGAATCTTCTGAGGACGCTTCGGAATATCTATAACAATTACGTTATTTATCGTCGGAACGTTTCAAGTGCTAAAAACAAATTCTTCAGGAAGCAAAAGAATTTTACTTCAAATTGCTTTTATTGCGGTAAAAATGCAGAAAAAAGAAATAATAAAGTTGTTTAATTAACGCAGTTTGGCACTAGGAAACAAAAGAAAATATTTTAGCAACATTAAAGAGGAGAGAGAAGACAGATTTCAAAAACTTTTTATTAGCGTGGATCCAATACGTTAATTTATTTGCAAAAAAAGCTATTTACCTACTGTCAAAAACGGTATATCTTAAAAATGTTCCCCCCGTTTTTGCCGCTTTTCTTAAAATTTTTCTATTGGAATAATATTTTTTGTTTTTGATTATTAAAATGTAAGTCGTTACGAAAATTTTGCTACCCCGCGCACCTCTGTACGATGAAAAAAAATAGATTTTTCATCCCCGTGAAAAAGAGGTGGTTTTTTTCAGTAATCGTGAGATCTTGGAAACGGTTTAACTTTATGAGCCCAAAAATTATCTTCTTTTTTATCATAAAACAAGATATGTTTCCTCCAAATTTCTACAAAGCTCTGGATAGGACACATAGGAAATTATTTTGTAAATTACAGTTGTAACTGAGAATTATACTAATTTACAGTTGTAACTAGTAACTAGTTTATAATTTACAGTTGTAATTGGGAATTACACTAATTTACAGTTGTAACTGAGAATTATCCTTGACAGTTACAACGGTAAATTAGTTTAATTCCCAGTTACAACTGTAAATTAGTGTAATTCCCAATTACAACTGTAAATTATAAACTAATTCCAAGTTACATCTGTAAATTAGTATAGTTCCCAGTTACAACTGTAATTTACAAAATAATTTCCTATGTGTCCTATCCAGAGCTTCGTAAATTTTAAACCCCTACGACATTTTTTCGCAAAAATAGGAATAAAAAACGAAAAAAACAGTTTATCCGGTTTTTCTAGGAAAATTGGAGGTTATGTGAAAATAGTGCAGATACAAAAGTTGCTCATTTTTTTAATCTCTATGACTTTAACATTTTCGTCTAAAATTAATAGTTTTGCCACAATTCGCAAAACACCACTTTCCACCCCTTTCAACCCCCGGGATTTCACGCGCGGAAAAATTCAGCTGTTTTAATTATTTTTTCCCAATTTCTATTCATTTCACCTGCATGAAAAACCCGGTTTCGCCCGGTAACTAATTTTTTTTGAAAATAAATTATTTTAGAGCTATTTAGCCTGGACTAAAAGTATCAGTTACAGTTTCAGTTCATCTGAAAATACCTATTTCTATTTCAGTTTCTGACGTTTCAGTCCGAAATCAGTTTCAGTCCGGGTTGGTGAAGTCCAAGGGCTGCTGGATGGTTCAATTATTCCTTAACTCTAGCCATGTCGCAGTTGCTCCATTTTCTCTGACGTAAATTTGGTCTCTACTAGCCTTCCACTAATTGTCCACTTAAAACACAACCCCACACCTGACACCAATCAAACGTAAATTTAATTACGTGGTTTATTTGTTTAAAATTAATTAACAGCAAATTTGTCTTGAAACGACTAGCAGCTAAAATATTATTTATCACTCACATTTGCACAATTTATAACAGCGCGAATTCTTTATTACTTCGGCGATGAAATTGGAACTGCCCGGAAACGTAATTCGATTTGCTTATGCAATTTTAAAACTTGCAGTCGGCCATATTTTCCAAACTAAAGAAGATATTGAAAATCGCGCAAAACCGTTTCGGGGGTATCGAGGGGGAAACCAGAATGACGTAATGAGTGACAACCCCTTAACCCCCCAGCCACTCCCTCTTCAAAAATCTTAAATGGCAACCGCATACTTGTGACACATCGTTGGAAAGCTACTGAAAAATGCTTTCCAGTGGTACCAATAAAGTCAATATTCATTAAGACAATTTAACAATAATTTTATAATTAACAAAAAAAAAATAAAAATTAAGCCATGCCTATGTTCAAGATTTGGTCGCCAAATTCGAAGAAACGGGATCTGTTGTCAATAAAAAAAGACAGCAATCAAGATTTCTTAAGGAAGCAGCTCAGGTTGAAGTTCTTGGCCAATTTGCAATAAATCCTCAATGCCAGTTTAGTTTTTTTTGGTAATTTAAATTTTTGTTAAATTGTGTTAATGAATATTGACTTTATTGGTACCACTGGAAAGCAATTTTTTCAGTAGTTATCCAACGATGTGTTACAAGTATGGGGTTGCAATTTAGGATTTTTGAAGAGGGGTGGCTGGGGGCTTAAGGGGGCGGGGGTTATCACTCACAACGCCATTCTGGTTCCCCCTCGATCCCCCGAAACGGTTTTGCGCGATTTAACAATATCTTCTTTAGTTTGGAAAATATGGCCGATTGCAAGTTTTAAAATTGACACCCCGTATAGTAAACCCGAGTATTTTCGAGTGTTCGCGAATCTGTTCTACAACAGAGCGTATCATATTTACGGGAAAAATTACGTCACATACCTCTCCGTTCTTTATCGGCGATGACTAATCTTTCATGGCGCCTCGATGTCCAGCGAGATTTCTGAAATGTTCGCTACAGTATAGAGAAACGCTATTCGAAACTTGTTACAGTATAAGAGAATAGAACAGAAATTTGTAACTCAAATGACGACTTGCTCACTTAAAGAAAGGAGCACTAAAATGACCGAATATACAAATTGTAATGCTATATTTCCTTTTCAGACTAGGCTTCAGGCCCAAAAAGAAGACTCCACACCAACAGACCCAACCAAAGGTCCAGAAATATTTCACAAATCTAGCAAAGAACTCTATAAAGCGGTAGCAAAACAGTTTGGTATTACATGTAAAATGTCCGATCAGTGTCGGTGTTTAGACTGTCAAAGTCATTATTTCGAGTGCGAGTACGACCAAAACGAAGACGAAAAAACGGACGGAGGTTTGGGCGCTGGTACTCCAATGTTTATATCGGAAGTAATGCACGGCACTGCTTGTAGTATATTATAAGTGTTTTTAACTATCTTGTTATCTTAGCTAGGAACTTTATGACACATTGAATGTTAAAGTCGTAAAATATCGGAGAGTTATAGTGGCACTGCACTTTTACATCGGGGATGCTTTTTTTTTACAAAAATCTAACCCCTATTGTCAAACTTTCATTTAATCAGTGCGTTGTGATCACTAAATTTGTACATGACACAGGAGATACAGTGTTAAACCTGCATTTTTTCGAATGTGTAACCCTTGATCAATGGAACATTAAAGGCACAACGATCAGTGCCGATTAAGAAACTAAAGATTATAAAATTCAGTTGCTCAAAGAAAGTTTTCTATTAATTTAACATATTAAATTAATAAAAAAATTTCTTTGATCAACTGAATTTTATAATCTTTAGTAGGTATCCGCTCAAAGAAAATAAAAATGAAGTACTTCATCCAAATAATCAAGAAACTCGATTGGACAATTTTTGAATTTTGACGAATGAAACTTAATCAACTGAACTGAGGTGAAACTATCGTGGACAACCTGCAATTTATAAAATAATTAATTGACTTTACTCCCATACTTCGTGCAAAACAACAATTTGAAGGTGACAGATTCCCCATCTTATTTTCTAATATCGTATTGCGGCAACAAAAGATATTTTTTGACGTTTTCCCAAATTTAAAACCTTTATTCTATTACTCAAAAATATTACCTGTGTCACTCAGAGTCTTTTAATCAAAGAATGAATACAAAAAGTCATGTATGAACGTAAGCTTGGTTTTCTAAAATTTAAGGTTTATTAGTGGGTCAAATAGATTTTGAAAAAATGGACTTTTTTTAAAATTAGGTCTAATTTCATTTTGTGCGCTTAGGTATACATCCACATGGCCGATATGGTTACGCTGATTTCTAGAGTTCATACGCACAAATATTTTAAGTAATAATTGCTGAAAACACAAAAGTTATCGACACCATCCTATCGACACCAAACCAGATTTTCAACTTAAAAAAATGCAACTAAAATATTTTTGTATCGTCACGTCAACCAAAAATTGAGAATATATTGGAATAAGTGCAATTATTAAGTTTAGTAACAAAATCGTAGCAATTCTAAATAATTGTATCAATTCTGTTTGCTTTCAGATAATTTTCAAAAATTGACAATGGAGAATTTTATTCAATTTATTTTTAATAACAAAAAAAAATATCTACATGATTTCTACTCACCATTAACCCTTAGTGAAACGTTAAAATAATTTGCTTAACTGACATATCCATAGGAATATTAAACGTAAACGCACACCAAAAAGTTAAAACTGTTAAAAAATTGTATATTTTTGTAAGTATAGGAATTATCTATTGGTCAAAACACGCACATTGTAGGTTTACCTGTAGACCCATGACCTCATTTCGATAATCTAAAAGGTAAAAGTAATTTGTAGATTGACTACGTAACTAAATTTAAATGGGACCCAAAGCAAATTTTAATGGAAAATACAATTATATTTTTGTATAAGTTGAGCTATAATAGATAATAATTCTGCGAAGATGGACTATGTATGCAATAATAAAGGTGATTTTGATTTGGAACCTATTCATGGAACGTTTTTTGTTTTGGCCAAATTTATCCATCCTTCGTAGAAAACTGTGTATAGTCAGAAACGCACATGGTCGTAAGGGTGAGCGGGAGACTTAGGATTAACACAAAAGGGTACAAATTTAATCGTTAATATCAGTCGGACTGAGTCAGAAACGCACATAACTAAAATTTGAAAACGCACAGTGTTGATGGGGTAAATTTAGGGTAATTAGCACAAAATTGCGCACAAACTGTAATTAACGGATAGATATGTTATTGCCAAAAATTCAATTTTATTGAGCGGAATTATTTCATTTATTACGAATTTTGTACTCACAAGCTTGGAGGACGACACTTGTGTATAAAGATCGTATTTCCTTATTATCTTAATCACACTAGCAGCTCACTAAACCAGTTGACCCATTTCATTGTTTAGTAAAATTAAAGTGCTATTGATACGTTCCCTTTTTTCGAGTTACCTTCCACGCATCGGATTGTTCTGGCTGTACTATAACAAAGATGTGCCCAATATCTACGCCTATATTTACATTTATATCAGTAGCATCTCCCATACCTTTTTCGTTCTCTCTCACCAAATCCAATTGCGCACAGTTTCGTAATTTGATAATTAGAAGTGTTAGAGTTGTCTGTTTTAATCAATTAGAAGTTAATATTCGAGATACTAAAGAATGTTTCGATTCGATCCATTGGCAGTAATTAAATATGTATAGCTTAAACTTGTCACAAACGCAACAAAATTGCGCACAAATTTTCGAAACCTTTCAGTTGGTGTTTTTTTATTTCAAAAAAGCAAGGCTCTCTAATAAACCTTAAATTTGCAAAAGATGAAAAAGTACAAATAGAGATAGAGAAAGTAACTTGTAGAATAATGACAATAAGACTGTACCCGTTTGTTATATGTTGACACTAAACGTTCTTGTTTTTGTCATTTACTGAACATTATCTTCTTCAATAACAAGTCCTGCTACCTTTCGATTATGTTTTAGGACTTATTGGTACGAGCATCCACAAAGCATTGGAAAAAACGTGAGATTCAAAATAAAACCTAAGTCCCAGTGCCACAAATAACTCTCGCAACTGATGATCTTTCACCCATTCAGATCTAAAACGAATTTGCATCAGTGGCATGTTACAGAAATTCAACTACACCTAATATTTCTAAGTTAGTGTCTAATAATAAACATTTATATATTGTATATAGTTATGAATGGGGATGAGAAGGTCTAAAACATTTAGCATAACACAACGCCCTAAAGTATACTCGTAAAATTTCCAAATAGTATAAGTTTATTTTCTACTTACTCGGTAATAAAAACATACATCTAGCTAGATCATCATTGCCTTCATATAGCTTTACAATATTGTGGTGTATATTAAGTGTTCCAGCTAACATTCTGAGTGTCAATGTGTGTACAAAGCTTCAACTGTGGGTATAAACTTAGGCCAGTTTTTTAAATACTTATCTATTAGTTCATGTTATAGTATAGTTTTCTAACGAATAAGTTATTTTAGGGTACTTGTAATATATAAAACTCAAAGTATGCTTTCCTTCGGATCTCTAACCAAAATATTCTATATATACTATTTGTCATATTTTTATAATGCTTGTAAAATTAATGTTCAGACTATAGCTACTAATTGTGCAAAAATGGTTACAGCTACTTCATAATCTCTTGGAAAATGTTGAATAAGTTTATAACTGTGCAAGTTACCTATTTATATTAGTTTGATAGACGTACTAAGCAGGTTACAGTTACAGAACCAAATTGCACAAGTTAAAATGCCTTTTTGATATACTGGTGTAAATGAAGGTATAGCAGTGCCGTAAATGATATAGATAGTATAAGGGCAAATGGACGAAACCGTAACAAAAACAACTTTAGCTAATCGTAAGCACTAAGCCGTTAATCCACATTTGCAGTTATGCACATCAAAATTCAATCATTTTGCAATTAATGACCGTTGTCGTAACAATGTATTATATCTGATGTTTGATCATCCTAAATTTAGAAATTCAGTTAAATACGATAAGCGACGTAACTTTAGGCTTTGTTAAAGAATGAGCGATAATTGATAGGTACACTACCTCACACTCCAGCGTTTCAGTTATTGTTCGTTCCATGGAATTTATTTGAACGAATAAGATGATAATATCAGAAATAATAAATTGTCAATTATGATTTACATTTTCAGGATGTTGTTTTATTTGGTTAACAGCTCAGTGGCTGTAATACGTATAACTAAGTACTTAAAAATATAGTTAGATGCATATTTGTAACAAAAAAACGTATATTGTATAGACCCCTACATTTTTTGGACTGAAAATTGTAACACAAACTCACTTTGTTAATTTAACTTAAATATGGAATGTATAGATTGGTCATTGTGTACTTACATTACGTTATTTATTCTGTCTGTATTTCTAAATGACAATGAAATTTATTAAGAAATTTTTTTTGGTACGCATTATTTATAAACTACCTACTTTGTAAACTTTTAGAGGTACATTGTGTCAATTTTCTTTAAATTTGTAATTTTGTACTTTTAGTTAATAAATAGTTATTATTCACTATACTTATTTAAAAAAAATGATGCGGATAGTGGCAGCATGGTAGGTACAAGAAAAGCCATGATAATTGGTAACCAAATTCCCAAATCTTGAAAAATTGTTAGCTTTAGATAAAGTTAAATGAATTGTTTTATATGACTCTGGCAAAACTACTTTCCCTCGAGAAGTCTCCCTTATTCTTCATAACCAAAGACTTAGTTCCAGAACGTGTTAAATAGCATGGGTTATTCAGAATTTGATATGTAGGTACGTGTACGTTTCTGAATTTTTGATTGGCTCTTTCAATTGATCGAGCCTTTTCTTCTGCTTCATCTAGTTCAAAGGACTTGTTCTCTAAAAGATCTCTGTCATATATTAGATGAAAGTAAACCCACAATCCATTATTGTCTGTAATGTAATCTTGTTTATTTTGTTCATCAGAAACGGCCTTAAAATGGTATTCCTTAGCTATCCACTTGTTCTTTTTATTTTATTAAATTGTAAAATTGTATTAAATTAACCGTTGAACTTTCGGCTTTAATCAAATATAAAACTTTGTATTTAGTCCTGTATGCAGATAATTTTGGCCTACACAAGGTGGTGTAAAAGATTTTTTTTGAAGCTACAATCAAAATTGAATAAATTATCGTATGCAATAATGAAGTTTGGCACATAGCCATCTAGATGCGGGTATGTTTCAATTTTAAATGTCATTATTAAGATTAACGCAGCAATTGTTTTTACTTTCCTCACTAGAGAGGAAATTCACATTTTCCTCACCCTTTTTAGAGACGAAAGTAGTCGTTTTCTAAAGTAGTTTCAGAAAAAATAATATGTAAAACTTGAGAAGAAAGTGTTTTTCAACTCTGAAAAACTCCACTTTCTTCTCTAGTTGTAAAAATAACTATTATTGTTTTAAATGGCCCATGTGGGTCCAAACGAGGGTCCAAATAACATCTAATTGAAAAGTGCACACCAATTTTTTCCCGGCACAACTTTTGAAGCCAAAAAATCTCAAAATGTTTGAACTTTTTTCAGTTTTTCGCTTAAATCTAGAAAACGGTCCATATTTTATTAATAACACTTCTTTAGTAAAAAAAGAAAACAAAAACCTACGTCGAAAAGGACGAACAAACACTTCGCACGGGTGTTTATAATTTTCGTATTCGTGGTTACATGTTGGGATGGATGTGTATGATGTTTGTTATAGAAAAAATAATACCTTAAAATTTGCATTGAAACCTTTCCCGAATTGTATTTGCACCAAAAAATGATGTCATTTGGAATACATATCAGTTATAATGTTGAATATTCTGCAAGAAATGCTTCGATAGAGGGTTTTGCCCTGAAAGAAGTAATGAATTCAGTGGTCAGGTGGCGTTGTAAGTGCGGTAATTTGACCTTTCTACTGGCACAATATAATCCTGCTGGTTGTAGTCGAAACGTCAAAAGTGGAAGGAATTCTGTGGAGTATTGGACTCGATCATCAACTTTTTGAAGACACTCGGGTTTACATTAGATCCTAGAACTGCCGTTTTCTTGTTCCCAAAAAATACTTGCCCCTTTTTGAGCACCGTTGGAAGATTTTTAATGCAACGTTTTGTTTCGGAGAAATGATAACAAACTATACTTTTTTATATGGCCCGTGGAAAAAGTACACACTGTATTTAGTAGCACTTTTGATTACGAATACAACTATATACGTCATACAAATAAAAACAAAAGTTGGAAATTGTTGGTTTCAACAGGATGGTGCATCTACTCACAACATCTTAATCGTGCAAGTATACGTATCTAACATTTTTTCTATTTTCCAGGAATTGATCCGATAGGTATGCTCGTAAGTTGTGCGCGGGTGCTGTCTTGTAGAGTTCAAAAACTTTCGCAGTCATTCGTCCTGCAATCGGATGAACAGTTAGGGACGTACGTCTAACCCCCAAAGTTTAGTCGCAATCGGATAAACGGTTTAGGCAGCTGGCAGTGGCATCATAAGAGACAGGACGAATACAAATTTATTTACTTACCTACATAAAAACCTTGAAATATGACCGATCATTACCCAAAGTTTCGTATCAATCGGATGAACGGTTTAGGCAAGCATAAGGGACATTCGTACGTACAGACAGACGGAATTTCTTTTATTATATAGAAACCTTCCCGGGCATACTTCCAACTATTCCCCAAAGTTTCATCGCAATCGGATGAACGGTTTAGGCAAGTATAAGGGACATACAAACATACATTTTTATTTATATAGATTGTATCCGATTTCAGGGATTTCCGTGGAGCTTAAGGGATTTCTTTGATCGCTTGTAAACATTTTTCTATTGGACCGATTTTGTTCGTTCATCTTTTGATCGACGCAGGATTGTGTTTTCATTAATTTAATAAAGAAGTGTTATTCATAAAATAAAAAAACCGTTTTCGAGTTTTAAGAGAAAAACTGAAAACAGTCGGTGTTTTGGCTGCCCAAAGTTGTGCCGAGAAAAAATTGGTGTGCACTCTTCAAATACATGTCATTTGGACCCAAATGGACCATTTAAAACGATAACATCGTTTACACCACCTTTTGCAGGAATCGCCCCTTCTCATCTGCTCCGCATACTGGACTAATACTAAATATTAGCTCATTAAACATTCTCTGTACATTGTGAAGTCCATTGAGAATATCTCTCCAGTAATTAAAAAATTCAATAAACTGTTTGCTGTAGGTACTCAATTACCGGAGTATGCACTCGCTTGTGAGTAAATTTAACCATTGATCTCCCTAATGGTGCGAGAATATCTATCCGACAAATTGCCTGGAAAATGGAACATTTGTCCGATAGGTATTCTCGCACGATTAGGCCCTTGTGCACGGGTGCACCATCCTGCTGAAACCAACTGTTGATTTTTTTGTGTGTCGTATATCGTTGTATTCGTAATAAAAAATCTACTCATTATACAGTGTGTACTTTACTTTATAGAGCTCAAATAGTGACTATGAGAAAGATTTGTTTGTATCTGTTCAAATAACATAAAAAAAATTAAAACGAGAAACTATTCACTACCCCCCCCCCCCCTTATTTGTTCGTTTGTGTTGTTATCTGTTACAGATTGGCAGAAAGCGCCGTTCTTGAATTCGAAAATTCCGCTGCGACCCGTGAACGGTATTTTTTTTAATTTTCGATGACTCCTTGATATGTTTGGTTACATACTGGCTTTCAATACAATCGAATTGTAATAATAAGTAATAACCACCTTTCTTTGATTCATTTAACGATTATACCTCCATTGTTTTTAGTAAAAATTCATTGAAATTTAAATGTTGACATTGCAGATCTACGAGTATATATTACAGTGTCCTATTTGTAATATTTTTGAGATCATTTATTAAATCACCCTCGATTGTGACGTTAATTATTATTTGTCCTATTCCCATCAATTATTTTACTTTATTTTAATTAAGCGGCAGTACAAAGCGATATAGGGAAGTCGATGGTGTCCGTCTGTCTGTCTGTCCGTGAACAAGATAAGTGCCAAACGCTTGGGTCGATTCGGTTCAAATTTTGCACATTTGACCTATATATCACATGTAAGAAGCCTATTAAAAATGTCCAATGACCCCGTAGGGTCACACCGCGGTGCTCTGTCGCTTTTTAAAATCTACTTTAGGGGTTTATTTGGCTTGAGATGAGATAATTTTCAGACTCCAAGGCGACAGCTGCCTTCCTGAAGTTATTAAAGAATCAACACACGCATTGAAAGTCAACACGAAAAAAACCTCTACGTATGTCGTACTACAATAGACCCAGTTATTTCTCAGATTCTAACCATAACCACTATTTATCTGGAAAATTATTTAGAACCTTCTAACTTTTAAATGACGACCAAAACGTCAAATTGGTCGAAATCCCTAGAAAAGTAGGAGAAACTCCATCTAACTTGACAAACATTCAAAAATTTCAATAAAATACAGGGTGTCCTATTTATCTTGAAACAGTCGATTATTGCGGAAACTAGCGGGGATATCAAAATAGTATACTAAGTAACAATGGATTAAAAAGAGTTTTTGTTCCTGAGAGAATGGTTTAAAGCCCGAGGTCCAGTGTTACTTTTTTTACCAATACCGACCGATTTAAATCCATTTTTCCATGAATTAGTTATTTACATGAAAGTCAGGAAAATGACACATTACTGGCGAGGAAATATTGAAATAAGAGGCATCTTTGGGGCCGAGTACTTTAATTTCCAAGTCAGGTAATGTCATTTTACTGACGAGTTTTGTATTAAATTTTACCCGAAATCGTATTTTAATATAAAATTTCAATATTCATATACAACTTTTGATTAATATCAATCTGTCAGTGGTGACAGGAGTCATAGACATTTAGCAATGTCACAGATGCGGCCGGTAAAGTGACAGGTGCGGCCTGTAAAGTGACAAGCGACAAGTAACGTAGTCTGCTCTGCCTCTGTCATGGAAACTCAAATTTCCTGACAGAAAGTAGGCAGGAAAATGAAGGTTTCAGGACGAGTTTCGGTAAAATAATGACCCGGATTTTTGGAAAAAAATTTTGGAGCGACGCATCGGCATCGAACCTTTTTTTTAAATAGCGACCTAAACTTTTTATTAGGTTATTCGAAAGACCTTATTTTTCTGTGTACAACCTACTAAAATTGTGCCAGGTTTCATTTAAAAAAACCTGAGAAAAATGTCAAACTTAAAAAACTAAAAAATCTGTACCAGAGCGCCAACAAAAAAAGTTAATTGATAACTTTATGAGGGTGTGGTACCCTCAAGGGATAAATTGTCCAAAACGAATTTTCTTAGGGTTCAATATTCAGGAGTCTAGGTGTTATGGGACGGTTTCTGGGGACAAACATATATTAAGAAAATATCCACAGGTGCAAAACCGTTGTGTGAAAAATTAGGGGCAAAGCATCTATTATGTACGATGTGTCCGAAGTAGAACTACAAATCGGCACGAAACTATGGCATTGTTTTGAATTCAATATGAATATTTTGATTTTGACAAAGTAAGGGGTGGTTTAAGTACCCACCTAGATTCGATTCGAACTTAAAATAAAATCATTTCTACATAGGTAGGTATTCTTTGTATGTCATAATTCAGAAGACACTTTATTGTCGTAAAATGGGTAGTATTCTGGCTTAACTTAATGGCATGAAATAAATGACACTCTGTATAGTACATGCGTTTTACGCCATCACAATGGCACAAGCAATCTATAAGCTAATATATTCAAGTATGTTTCTCATTTGACCGGCAGCACTTCGGATTCTATGGTTTAAGCCTTCGAAATAATCATCCCTTGTCTTTTGTGCGTCTGGCCACCTGCGTTTTTTTACCGCTCTATTTTGTGGGTCGTCAACACGCCAGCCATTCTTTTTATTACTCAATTTCCTGTAAAATAGAAAGTAAGAAACCGGCGGTGCGTGCTTTTACTACACTCTTTATGCAATAAATTGAGCGGCCTCCATACGTTGCTCCTATTTACAAATAAGGGAAATGCTATTAGATATTGATTTTCTGAGTAAATACTATACCTACTTCGGCTTAAGCAAAAAGTTATGGTTGAACGAAAAGAGAGAGAGAAGACCAGTAGCGTTGGTTTTAAATGTACAGTTCTACAACCCCCATGAATTATAATATAAATGAACGCGCAGATAGGTATTTATTAAACAGGGTGAGCATACATCGTAATAAATGTGTATCTAAAAAAGCAGTTTGATTATTGTGAAACGAGTTATTCCTAAATAAGCATAATTGTCTAAAAATCAATAGTAGCGGTGCGCGGCTGAGAGCGATGTCAGATCGATACGATAAATGGCATTCTATGATTGGTGGATGAAAATCAATAGAGGTAGACCGATTTTATCGATTTTGTACGAGACCCTAAAATACAATTTTATTTTGACTGTGCAACGTATCGATAGTAGTGAACTGTGCGCTGATTTTTATCTTTGCGAAACTTATAGGTAAATATGAATTACGATACTTTCTTCCTAAACATTTGATGTTCATGCTAAGGGTAGAATAGGAAGTTATTTAAAACGCGCCCTCGTTCATAAAAGTCGAACAGCAGCACCAATTCTGTAATTGAACCATATTATTTCGTTGTCGGTAGCTACGCAGTTTTATTAGCACTTATTTATTACTTTGGAATCAACTATCGATTAAGTAATAATAATATACCCTCATCATTACTAAGACGTACTCATTAATATAATCGTTAGAATCGCCGATTGAGATTGATTTGCGCAATAGTCCAGATTATGATCGTTTCAGCGCAGTTCTTCTTTCATACATACCGAATACTCTTCTCTGTAAGTTGCGTTGCACTCCGGAGTCCGTCCCTGTTTATGTGCAACTCCAAAACGTCTTTTCGATGGTTGAAAAGTGAAAAAAACGTTCTCTAGTGCTAGGGCTAACTCTTATCGTTGAAAGGCTTTCGTTCCGCAACAAGTTAGCAACAGATATTTTTTAATGACCAGTAAAAACAAAAATCAGGAGTTACAAATGGGAATTATTGCTAATATTCGTTCTTTTGTTTCATATTTTTGTTTCGCCCATTGATTTTATGTGCAAATGTAACCCCCATTCCTTTTGAAATATTTGCAATATTTAAAAAAATTCCGCCCATTAGTGCATGGATGGAGGATTCTGGGTTTATTAAGGCAACCTAAACACATTTTCAACAAAATCGAAATTGTTATACAGGGTGGTTTATATTAAAGCTGCATTTTTTAACAGAACCCCCTGTATATTATTACATATTTCGATTTCTTGGGCAATTGCGATTTCATGTATTACGCATGATATATAAAATGAGTCGCAATTCGTCACTTTTTTCCAAAAAGTAGATGTCCAGGAAAAATTGAATGCTCCGTACGCCGAATGATCACAACCGAGGTTACAACTAAACTTTTTTCTGTGCGAACATAAATCACTCCGTCAATTTTCAAAATTTACTTTGAGCATATTTTTTGTAATTCAACAATATTTCGAATAATTCACAGTGTTTTTCGATTTTAAAAGCCTCTCAGTAATTAGTAGGCGTTAAAAATTATAAACACCATTTCAAATTATTGTAAAACCATTACACTAAACCAATCAAAATAAAAACTCTTTCATGTTTTTCATCATCATTTTAAAGGATAATTTTACATTTAAACCAGTATTTCCCAAACAGAGAGGCGCGCGCCTCCGGGGGAGGGGCACAAAACGCTGTTAAGGGGGACGCGAAATCTCTGATGTGTTTGAGGCAAATATTTACCTTTAAAATACTTTTATTAGGTATTTTAGGTGCTACAAGAGAAAAGTTCTCAAATGAAGTAAAAACGACTTCAAAGGCCGTTGATGTTATGGCTACAATATTCGACTTGATTGAACAACATAATATTTTATGGGTCGTAACACTCAGAAATTTTAAAATCACCATGGTTTTGTTAAAATTATTTTTTGATATCTTTGAAAATAAATGGACACCAACGCATTCCCGAAAATGACATTTTTCGTTTTTTTGGTAATGACCCCTATTTGTAAAGGAAAAATTAATTTTTTGCCTATTTTAGCGGATATGTATCTCTTACCATTTCCGAGTCCCAATAGTAAAAATGAAAAAAACTCACCCTGTAAATTTTTTAATAAATTCGTTTGTAGTAACAGCATTTTTTATTTTTAAATCGGGATAGGGGGGTGTGAACAATCATAGTTTTATGAAAGGGGGCGCGATGGAAATAAGTTCGAGAACCACTGATTTAAACCAATGAGGCGCGTGAGCTTAAATAAATCAATTTGAATAGTATGCCATGAAAAGCCATATTGAAAAATATTAAAACAAAATAAAATGAAATATAACATCTGTCAGTTTGGTTCATTGCAATTTACAATCTTATTGTTGATTGTTGATTAGTTGATTCAAAAATGGAATTTGCAACAATGATTTAATTAATATTATTTGCTACTGGATGTATGTCAGAAAAATTGTTTAGTAGCCAGTAGTTTATAAAAAAGATTGTCCAATAAACTAAGATACTCAAAAGAAGAGTTTTTAATGTGAGCTATGAAAAACAGGAAAGAGAGAAACCCGTAACACATGAAGAAAATGAATTCATTATTATGACAGCAATTTTACTGATCGATTTTGTATACAGGGTTCCGAAAATAGCTTGTTTGTCATATTTATACAGGGTGATTCGTGTACCCCGTTCGTTTGAAGTCTTTAAACTTGTAATTGAAACAGAAACTTGAAATTTGGTTCACAGCCATAGTCGCCCATTGCGAATTGAAATAAAATAATTTCCAAAAGGGGGTCGCTTCCGTAAATACAGAAAGGTGGTTTTATAGATAGTAACATATCAGTTTCTTTTTTTTGTAATACACCATTTTTATTCTGAATTCAACGCATTTAAGATTTGCGTACCTATCTGTCAAAGTTTTTGACATAATTATGCCAATGTTTCTCTAAAAATTTGGAGCCTACTACACCTACTGGAATTTGACTTGTAATTTGACTTGTGTAAATATCTTGTGATAAACTACACTAATAAAGTATTATTATTATTATTATTAAAATGTGCCAAATTCTTGACAGAATATAATTTTTAATATTTTTAATATTGCCTTGTTATTTGAAAAAAAAGTTGTATGACGTCACGGCACTAAAAACTTAGATATTAAAAAAGTTTTTGACAGTTTTACATCCTTTGTAATGCACGTGTACATTTGCAAATTTTTATCGAAATCATAGTAACCGTTTTGGCGAAAATTTTAGTTTTTCAACTTGGACATTCTTTTTCTCAGTTTTTTTGTAGTAAAATCTGGCACAATTTTTGTAGGTTGTACACAAAAAAATAAGGTCTTTGGAATAACTTCATAAAAATTTTAGTTTGCTGTTTGAAAAAAAAGCTCGATGCCGTTGCGGCACTCCAAAATTTTTTTTGATAAATCCGGCTCGTTATTTTCCGTTTCAATATGTCTAATATCCGAAATTTGAACAAAATCCGTCGAGCCGTTACCTCGGAAAATTGCCAACGTACGCACGTACATACAGAAGGAAAAAAGTTTATTCTTTAAAAGTTGCTAAAAATCATTTAAAACGTCGACATTTGACTGAAGCTAAAAATAAGAATATTTTTTTCAAGAATCCCAATAACTCAAAAACTACCGGATATAGGCAAACATGAAAAAATCTGTATAAAAATGTCAAGGTTCTGAAGTGGTTTCTCAGATAAATCTTGGTCGTGATAATACAAAGAATTTAATCTGGATGATTGGCGTCAGTGTAATGTGTGTCATTTTTACGCAACGGTTTTCAATATTCTCTAATGAGGTCATCCTGAGAAAAGTTTTTTGAATTGCGGGTATTTTGGAAAACAACAGGGATTGGTAGAACTAAAAGCTTTAACCAATAGAAATTAATTAATAACTATCATCATTAACAATCCGCTATTTTTGGACGGGTTTAACTATCAAAAGATCGAGTGGGAATTAATTCTCGAGGGCTAGCAGACATTCGCGGTTTGAGGGCGACCAAATAGATCCTAAAAGAGATTCTCGATTTTGGCGTTGAGCGAACAGTTTCGGTTCCGAATAATAACAAAATATTCGCGGGTTGGTTTACAAAAATGGACAATTGATCTCCATAAAAAGCGATTTACCTATACCAGTGAAATTTGAAATAATTCGTTGTTTTCCGAAAAACGAAAGTTAACGGGAATAAGGTTTAAGTAAATAAAAAGTCACGCGCATAAATTAAGAAAGACCGCTTTCATTAAATGAATAGTAAACCCGCCAATTCAAGTGTACGCTATAAAGGACTGTGTAGCACCATCGTGACGAAATTATCAATATTTTCTTATTCGACTCCTGTAACTAACAACCTAAACTATACATATATAGAGTCTTTGCGCAGCGAAGTTACTAATAGGCCTAATAGGCATTGATTTCTACGTTTAAATAGTGCCTGAATAATGCCAAAGCGAGTTTGTGCTTTCTGGGAACGATAATGGAATAAGCAAGAAAAAACAGATCACGAATACCTAATTAGTTTTCATATATCTGCCCTAATAAAAACCACTTAATTAATTGGACCACACTAACTTATCTACTACTTTGCTGTAGTAAGTAACGGCCCCTCTTGTATTTGGCGGTATACAATATTTTTGTTGTATTCAATTTCCTTTTAATTTTCGTTAGGTCAGTTAGGTGGAAAAACCACGTCTTAATTACAGATTAATTATTCAGGTGTTCTAGGGAGAATGAGCATTGTGTTGCTTGCGGATTCTGCATTTAATTTGTTTCAAAATACCTAGATACAGTCATTTTCAGATAAAGCTATGTCAATCTATAGAACCACAGTACAATATTAACAAATTAAATAATGAGCTCAACATAATTGAATCCGTCATCCGATTTATAAACATCTTCCTTATACTGGGCTCTAGTACTTAGAAGTGTTCGTTAAATAACTCGTATTGGCGCATATTCTTCCAGCTGCCTTTTTAACAGAATCTAGATCAAACTGTAGCAAAATGAAGAGGTAGACAGTTACAGCAGAGCACATCTATAATGAATTACTTCTAAACAATCGAATAAATTGTGTGACACCTTACCGAGTGTAGTAAAGTTGGGTCCAACTTAAACAGTCTGCACACAGTCACTTCTAGGTTACTGTTCATCAAATGTAACACTTTGGAGATTATCTAAAAAATATGTTTAATTGGCGACTTCCGAAGACTTAATACCTGGCTTCTAAATTCTGAGTTTTTAGGATCTACTACTATGCCGTGCAGTAATATATAACGGTGTAATTTGCCTAAAATATACTTATTAATTCGTTGGTTACTTGCACAATTCACTAGCACCTGAAAACACATTTCCGTTGTGCGTTTTACAATGAAAACGAGTTTTAAAGCAAAAAAAGTCCCAAATGGGAGAGTAACAAAGATGAGTACAACAAAACTACCATTGTAATGTGCAACAAATATCACGTACAAAAGAACATATGTTTGACCTACAAGCACTGATAAGGTGTAAAACATCGAAAAGAGTTGAAGTAAAGTAAAACACTTGTAGATCATCGACATGATGGCTAACAGCTTTTTGTGCAATTCTAGCACAGTTTCAATGCAGTTGACTGTTTCACTGTCTTGGTTATAATTCACCATTTTGGATTTCACTAACCCATTAAGCACATGAAATCGGTCGCGAAACACAGTAATCCACGTCAAATATTGGACCATTATAGAGCAGTCAGTAAATTCGTACACGAAAAACCTTAAAAATTGAAATCTGTACGTATCAAACAATGCAGTTAACGATACAGCCATGCCTATATACCATACCGCCCAAACGGTTATTCCCAATCTTAAATTTTTTATTAGAGAATAGTTCCTTTCACAAAGTTCGTTCTGTCGCCCACATTTATATATGGCTTCGTCAACCTCGTTGACTTTGCGAAAGGCGTTCGTAAAGGAATTGACGTATACGTGATTTTGTCCAAGTCCAATGACTGTGATCGAGAAAACTAGAAAAGCAGAGAGCTGGCCGAGGAAAACCAAAATCCCCGACAATGGAATAATGGAAAAAGGAAATGTATGTTGATTCGAAATGCTGAGTGAGAGTTTAATAAAAATAAGAATGTAAATTACTGACTGAACTATTTTCCAATAGCTTCTCTTGCAATTGCCCGACTTCGTGAGGTTGACGCCAATCGTGCCCGAAAAGGTCGACAAATAGTACATTGGTCCGAAGACGTGTACAAATTTCTCTGATCTCTTCATCTTGAGTTTTATTCGACGGTGCAAAGTGAACTGGTGCCTTTTAAGTTTTATATGGAATTGACTCATTACAAAATGAAAATGTAAATTATGCATGTAGTTACACTTCATAAAATCGATTTAATTTCTAGACACACCTGAATTAATTATCTTGCACATTCGTTATCCATTTAATATTGTAGGTATAGGCCCCGGAGTGCGTTGAATTTGGTACTGGAGAACATGTAAGGTTTTTTTTCGGATAGTGCAGAAATGCTTCAATGCAAATCAGCACACGATCTTAAAAATCAAAACTATGCATTTGATCTTTTTCTCAAGGACACTGTTTTATACATAAGTAGGTACCTTTATTTATGTCGTGATTCTCAAAAACTCAAAAATATCCGGTTCAGTCACGATGTAATATATCCCATAATGTTATTTTGTACAAGGAAATGCGTGCGCCAAAAACAATTAAGAAAACCTCTGCACGACCTCCGGCGGCAAAACAAACAACTATTGTAATAAGAAATCTATGGATGGTCTCTAGTGGCATAGAGTATATTATTTACTCTATGCTAGTGGCAAACATAAAGAACTAGGATATTAACAAATTTATTGTAGAATCCTGTGGTAAAAGAAGACGACACAATGCGGTTGCAGTGGAAACTAAAAATTTCGCACGAGTTACAAATACATATTTACTCCAATAAACGAGGCAACCAAAAATCAAGCAATTCTAAAATGACAGTTCCAGAGCATTTAAAAATATAGAAATATATAAATATAGTATATTAAGAAACTAAGTGTATAATCAAGTCTGTAAAACACGAGTTTAAAGGCACGACACGTAGCCAAGTGTCTTTAAACGTTGCAGGTGGCGCCCGTGCTTTACAGAACTGAGTAAGATTCAAAATGCAAAATGCAAAACTTTGTTAACGCACCAATAAATTATTATTATTATTATTATTATTAAGATTCTACTTCATTTGAGCGCACGTCATCGGTGTATTATGACATCATCACTAAGTATGTTTACATAGCAACATGCAATCCATGGAAGGGAGTCGCATGTAAGCAGCCATACAGACAGTGCTGCATTGTAAGTAGTATACCCATTACATTAACTACTTCTATTGACCAAAATCAAAAAAATGTTTCAGTATAGTTATTTGTAACAGATTGTCTATGTCGCGATCTTTTACGAATAAGATGGAAAGTACTCGTTAGTACTGGCAGCGTCAGACAAAGTACTTTCTCTGACTGTGTCATGAAATGAGTCATGTTCTACAAACGTTTGAAGGAAAATATTTTGAAATCAAAATCATTTCAATTGTTTTTTCGTAATATCAACGGCCGCAGTATGTAGAAGTCAAGAAACGGTTGCAATGTTGACTTACCCCGTACTCACGAGCAGAGCGACCATTACTTTCATATCAAAACGACGGACGTTTAGCGGCAAGATGTTGTTCTAAAAATACAAACGTAAACTGCTTGTACCATTCGAGGTGCGTTTTAACTTACTATTGAATCATGGAGGTGGAGTTTCGAATCGCTGCTTGTGTGAAACCATCAACATCACTAACGGGTTTCTTACATCGCCCTGTTTTTTAGGATTTTTTAGAGGTTTTCCAAATGCATTTGTGAACTGTTCGAAGGCTAATATTTAATGCATCCGCAACTCTCTGTGAAAAGAAACTTGTTACGTATACGAATTCTTATTTTAGTAAAGTAACAACTCACCTTCCTCACTTCTGCGATTGGTAAAAGTGGACCATCATTATCTCTTTCTCTTTCAAAAGAACCAATAGGATTAGAAATAAGTTGCTTACTTTTTCTTGGTAAACCCGATGGCATTTTCTATACAATTTTTAGCGGAAAATATCGCAGTACGACTTACGGAAGTTAAGCTCCTATAAATGTTCGTTATGAAACTAACGGATTTTTATCGGCCAATGTAGCAAAACGCGATAAAATAAAGAAAACTGTAGCAAACAGTTGTACAAATTTGACGTGGCGCAATGTAAACGTTAATGACCACTATTTCGATTGACAGAGGTAACCTGACGACAAACAAAACACGCGTTTCTTATAGTAGGTATTTTTATTATACCTCAGGGGCGGACTGGCACGGGGGGGCGGGTGGCGATTGCCACCTGGCCTGTAGATTATAATGGCCCGTTGGAAATTTATAAGTATGTGCTGTATTTAGTTTCTTGCACTATTAATAAATTATTAACACGTTTCTCTAATTGGGGTTGATGTTAGGTTGTTAAAAAATTCTGTTTTAATTGAAGTGTTTTACAATGAATTTATCATTTTTTGTCGTAGGATGAAAGTGCTGAAATACAATGATAGGCGACGCACCCTCGTGTCACGTGTGGATTGTATATTTTGTTACATTTAATTATCAGCTGCAATTTAAAAAAAAACTGTATGGTAATTTATTTTCGAGAAAGGAGTACTTTAAATTGTTTTTGTGGTGCACCTCAGAGCTAACCCCCCCCCCCCCAGGCCACCATCATTACTACACTAATACTTTAATGGCCCGTAACCTATGCAATTCCACCTGGCCCGCAGTTACCCAGTCCGCCCCTGCCTGTAATATAATTTAAAAATAAGGGAAATAAAATAAAATCATATTGTACCTACCTGAATACAGTCGAGCAAACTAACCAATCAAGTTTGTTCAGAAGGCTTGGTTTGGTGTCGCTGTATTTTAAAGATACAGTCAGTGTCAATAGTGTTTGGCAGTAAATTTAAACGTATTATATTTTGCATTTTTCAATTTTATTGATTTTTTTCATGTAGATACGTTCAACATTGGAAAAAAACACATGTTTTTCTCTTTACTTGCCTTACCAGTACAATTGGTGACAACAAGCAGATTTTTATAAACATTTATAAATTTGACTGTACGCGCCCGCGATACTAATCGTAGCATTAGTTTAACGGCGACGAATTTTTAAAATTAGTTCGCATTTTCCATCGGTTGAAAAAGATACTAAACCGTCTATTCAATGACTTATTGCAGAAGCAGAAGAAAAGTTGATACCTGCAAAATCCTAATCCGATAAAACCTATTATAACAAATTTGTTGGTGTGGATGGCAAATAAATTAAAACGCTTTAGGCAGGTATATGAATTCAGTCTTTTAAGAGCTGAAAACGAACGCTTTGCTTAACAATGTGTAAGTGAGTAACATAGAAACACTCAGTGAAATGTCAGCATTCGGAAACTGCCACTTTTGTAGGAATTTGATCATGTTAATCGATATGTGGGTAATAATTACAGTTGATTTAGTCAGAATAAAAATAAATATTTGAGTAAAAGGTGTTTATTTAATTTAAAATATTTAATTTTTATTTTGTTCTCCGACTTTTGCCAGCAGTAAAGTGACTGACTAGCTCTCATTGGTATATTTTATTGGAGTGCATGCATTGATTATACGGCGCACGACTTCCTAATAGGATCTGAAACATATGTGCCCATTTTTTTACCCATTAATATCTAAGGGAATATTTTTATTTGATTCCTTTTAGCAAGGTATAGGGAGGAAAAACAATATACTTATAGGTACTTACTTATATTTGATTTAATTGTTATTTACTTAATCGTTACATACCTAATTTGTTGCGTTCCAGTTCAACAATGACAGACTCGTCCGAAAATTATCAGCTGAAATGGCATTCCTACAGTTCTCATCTTCATTCATGTGTGGCTTCGTCTCTTACAACCGAAACGTTTGCGGATGTCTCGCTTTGTACAATGGACGGTCATTTCATCATGGCTCATCGTTTTGTTCTCTCGGCATGTAGCCAATACCTTCACCAAGTCCTCAAGCATCAGCAAAAAATGACTACAACGTTACCATTAGTTATAATATTACCGCCAGAAATAAGTTACAGAACCATCAAAACTTTGATAAACTACATGTACAGCGGTGAAACGACTGTTTCGAAGGATATTTTGGAAAATGTGTTGAAAGGCGGCGATATTTTGAAAGTAAAAGGTTTATGGAGACCAAAGGAAGATCGTCCAAACGAAAAAAAGTTAGCAAAAGTACAAGAGCAGCTTAATGGTACAAAGAGTGTGTCTGGAAATGTTACGCCAACAAGCACTGCCAGTGAAACGGTTACCGACATAACAAAGCAGACGGAATCCTCAACAGAACAGTCCCCTGCAATTAAGAAATCCGACCTGCCTAACAAAAATGCCGTAACTGAGAACACAGAAACCAGTGCATCCCCAAAGGATCTCAACCGCACAGAAAATCGTGATGAAAAAATTACTACACTAGCAATTAGTGGCTTGGGACAGTCCTCAAACTTACAATATTTAGTTATTAAAGATGAACCAATCGAATGGAGCGAATTAGAGGAGGAAGAAATGGAAATCCTAGAAAATGCGGACATGTTTAATACGGAAGTTGACATCAAGCCCGAAGTAATAATGAATGATAATGAAGAAAAAGAAGAGGAGCTGTACTCTCCATTGACATGTGAGCTGTGTTCCGAAACATTCACATTACCTGCCGAATGGGTTCGTCACATTCAAACACATACCGACATGCTACCGGCCAAACGACAAAGAAGAGGCAGATCGACAGTAAGTGCCCTTAATCATCAGCCAGTAGAAATTATAAAATTATTTAAAGCAACTTTCATTTTTAGGATGAAGATTCCGAGACATTCCCACCATTGCACTGCGACATGTGTCAAAAGTTTTATGCAACTCCAGCTGAATGGGTTCGGCACATACAGAATGCTCACACCGAGTTCGAATTGCGTGTATCGAATAAGACACTGCCCACGAAACCGATCAGAGTTAGCCGGCAAGAGGGCTCCACGCATAAAATATGCACGATGTGTAATAAAAAGTTTCCTTCACACGCATCGATGCTCATACACAAACGCACCCACACAGGCGAGAAGCCGTACATGTGCGAGCATTGCCAAAAGGGATTTAATGTGAAAAGCAACTTGTTGCGGCACTTGCGCACTCTTCACGATAAAATCGTCAGCTCAACAGAAGTCGATTATAAGGACGACGGAAAAAGTTCCAGTAACAGTGATTTTTAAACTCCTATTTTGATAACTCTCACTGTCTTATCAAACAATGAAATTATTATGTGGGTACCTATCTACTTAAAATCACGTATCCAAATTGTTATTATCTAAACTAAATGCTTCCAAATTGTTTACATCTATGTTTGTAAATTATTCTGAGTGAAAAAATTAAATACTTTAAACAAATTTTCTTGTCCCGTGTATATAGGTTGTCTCTCACTTCCTACAGTGTACCTGACTTCTACAGTACGAATTTTTGAAGGAATAAGGAATGCGCCACCTCATCATTATTTATAGTCGCGCGCGGATAACTAATATTTCATGGCGCCTCGATGTATACTGGGATTTCTGGAATATTCGCTACACTACCCCCTTCTTAAAACTGTTGCGTCTCGCCTCCGAGCCTTGTGACATCCTTGGCAACGCAGTGAGCCAAAGCGTATTCCGCTTGTACTTCAACCAAGTCTTTAGAATCCTCACAGACAACTCCAAAGCGTGCCCTTTGCGTTCCGCAGAGTAATGTGCCATAAATTCCGCGAAAGTGGACGGTGCATAGTGGTCTCATTTGCATCACATTTTCCGCTTTTGGACTTCGTTGTCCCCCGTATGGAGCGAACCGATTTATATGCACTACCACTGGTTTTCCTCGTGTTTGTTTCCGTATTCGATACATTTTAAGTCGTTGGATTTTCACTCTATCGCTTGCCAACTGCATAGGTATTACGGCGAACTGTATCATGGATTGCATCCAATTTCTGACGCACTTTTCCCACGTATAGGTACTCATTTCCCAGAATTTGTTTTTGGCCGGGTCTTGCACCAAACTTCAAATCATATGGCAACCGGAGTTCCCGGCCCAACAACACAGTAACTGGCCTTTCTCTTGTAGTTGCCTGCAATACTCCGATATTTACCTTACAAATTAGGAAAACTGCAGGAAAAACTAATTCGGAGTAGCTGGCAGAATGCCCGAAACTGATCTAAGGAAATTCCTATCTCTGTCACAGACGAAAAATTCTAACCTCAGCCCAGGTTCGAATACTCGATCTCCGGCTATGTAGGTAACGCTCTACCACTGAGCCACATAGCAAGAATAAACTTTGAAAAAGGTACCTAGTTCACCGAGTAAAAATAGAAATAGACTGGGAAAAAAGAACTTAACAAGAAAAAAACCAACCAACAAATTAATATTAAATTGTGTAACAAAATTAATTGTTGGTAATGTCTAACATAAAATTATAACAATATTAACAAAGTATGTAGCATGTATTCGCAGTCCCATATTTGCACCAACACAAAACCCCAATATTCAGTAATTAAATGTCAAGAGTTAACTAATAAGAATCGATTAACAACAGAGTATCAGCAAGGTGGCTCTTTTCTAAGACACATAAAAACAGTTGTCCACATAATATATCTCTGGTGTGTGTGTCAGGTGACTTATTTTCACTTTTACCTGCAACGCACACGTCAAAATTTCACCTTCGGACGATACACAGATCCAATCTAGATTTCATTTGATACAGTCCCATGCATAGCCTCCATACAGTTACCTACCAACAATGACAACGTATTTCTTTACCAAAGTAATATTTAATTGATTTAAATAAGCGGTGGCATATGTGTAAAGTTTGTAGATAACGAAACGAGTGCTCATATTTGGTCGGCTCTTACCAAAGATGAAAAATCGGGGATAGATGGCAGACTTAAAGCTTTGCGTGCCGATCTCGAGTCATTTGACTCAGCATACGTAACAGTCCGTTGCGTGTAAATTTCAAATACGCATTTTTCCGGCAGTCAGCCGGTGAATCGAAGTCTATTTTGTCAGTAAAATTAAGAAGAAGTAATACAGGAATAGTTTTCCGATTGCTATCGAAAGTTGCATTTAGTTACAAGTTATAGAAGAACAACAATGTCAATCGTCATAGAACCAGTGATGGAAATTTAAAAAAAAAAGAAGAAAGTTTGTATACACGGTTCTGCATTTATGTTAAAATAATTATGTGAAAGTGTTTTGTCGTTTATCTCATCTGTACAGGCGGTTTCAGACTAAGTTTTGATTATTACAGTAACGAGTACCATTGAGACTTATTTTTTCTGTATTCTCCCGTTGGAAAGGGGTAAAATGTTTCAATAAGGCGCTGTTAGCCTTTAGATTTTGTGTCTTGTTTATTTTTGTGTCATGGTGTTACCTTTTTTATAAACAAAGGTGTAATGAAACCACGCCATTGCACACAGCAATAATTTTTGGCGCCCAACGTGGGGCACATCACTATACACTGTGTTCATTTTTCGAGTGCCACTATGGGGATCTCACTTATCTTAAGAGATAGAAAGTTGGTTAAATGGGGGCAAAGTTGCAAATTTCCGTGCTGAATAAGAATCTGAAAAGAAATTTGAAATATATTCAATACTTTTGAAGATATCACAAAAAAACGAAAATTTCTGATTTTCGTTTTTAATTCTTTTATGATAAACTAGTCGTAGTAGACATTTTTAATTAGCACATTATTCGGACACTTTTTAATGGAGATTTCAAATATGGCGTCCTGTTTTTAATTACGTTCAAGATGACGGAGAAACACGTGGCAACTTTAGTTTTTCTTATGGGCGCCATATTGAATTTTGACATTTTGGGATTACGTCTTTTTTTCTCTGTACAACGATATATCACACATAGTGGTTCAGTATCACATTTTTCCTAAAAATACAATTTTTCATTTTTTGAGAAGAGTGCTTTGGAAAAACAAAACGTTCATTTGTTGTCAACAAAAGTTAGACAGTTTGATCCATGTGTCTGGTTGCAGCGTTGTCAGAGAAGTAGAAATTCGATTTTCATCTCAACCACTTGCAAAATTGCCTGCTCATATTAATTGGGTCTATCACCATATTGCTGTCTACATCTTTTAAAAGAACCATATTCGCCCAAGTTTTTATGCAGCAAAGAAAAATATCTCAAACTAGGTTGTTGCCCCTCTGGATAACGCTGCAAGTATGTTGCAGCAGTCATGTGGGCATTTCGATGAGAAGTGTAGTAAATTTCGATCATATCTCTTTGATCTGCACTTGAAAAAGGCATTTTCGCATTACAACTAGCATAAACCTAAACGACACTACATGAAATAAGTCAACCTTTTGTTCACAACACAAGAACGTTTTGTTTTTCCAAAGCACTCTTCTCAAAAAATTTAAAATTGTATTTTAGAAAAAATGTGATACTGCACCACCATGTGTGATATATCGTTTAAAAGAGAAAAAAAGACGTAATCTCAAAATGAGAAAATTCAAAATGGCGCCCATAAGAAAAACTAAAGTTGCCACGTGTTTCTCCGTCATCTGGAGAGTTATTAAAAACAGGATGCCATATTTGAAATCTCCATTAAAAAGTGTCTGAATAATGTGTTAATTAGAAATGTCTACTACGATTAGTTTATCATAAAAAAAATAAAAACGAAAATCAGAAATTTTTGTTTTTTTGAGATATCTTCAAAACTATTGAAGATATTTGAAATGTCTTTTCAGATTCTTATTCAGCACGAAAATTTTCAACTTGGCCCCCATTTAACCAACTTTTTATCTCTTAAGATAAGTGAGATCCCCATAGTGGCACTCGAAAAATGAACACCGTGTATAAGCAAGGGAATTATGGAAATTGTGAGGGTGTGGGTAATTTCATTTATTCGATATACATTAACGTTTGGTAACCTAATCATTGCAAAAGTATAAAAAAACGAATCACTTATGTAAAGCAGCTTTCTTTACATGATCAAAAGCTTGGTTCCACTCCTTTTGAGACGTGACAAAAGGACCATTGTGAACGATATGGACGGTCATGCCTTTAACAAACTTTAAATTTGGCACCAACTAAAACAAGGTTAATGTACAACACAAAACCTATAATAGGATACCAACCTTTGGAGTAATAAAGAAATACTGTGAGGTGTCAGATTGGGTAGTAGCATCAACAAGAAGCTCAAAGATTCGTCGCTCGTTATTAGAGTCCATACCCTGATTAATTTCGTCAACACAACGAAAAGGAACAGGAGTGAGTTCTTGTAGGGATAGCATGAATGCACCAGTTGCGACCGCTCGTTCTCCACCGCTTTGCACAATATTGTTTAGTTCTTGAAGTGGCTCGGAATCTCTATATTTCACTTTGATGCTTAAACCGTATTCCGAGAAATCTTTCTCATTTGGACCTGAAATAGAGGTAAAGTTAAAACTCTACAAGGGCGTACCTCTAGTGATAGACATTGTAAATCTTTGTATCTTGTGTGTACTTACATTCTCTTCACTGGGCAGTAACAGAATGAAATATACAAACCTTTGTATATAGAAATATCTCCAGCACATCCCATTCGCCTGAACGCAGTGCTAAATTTGTCATTTATCTCTTGCACTAACTGTTCCAGCGGCTCCAACCACTCCTTTTCCAATTTGTCCATATTCAAATTTGTATTGTCCAACTGGGCGTGGCCGTCCCTGATGTCGTTTTCAAATTTGATTATAAGTTCTTGCCTCTTGTGGTAATCGCCCAACTCGTTATCGTCGGCTGTACTAAGACAATCGATTTTCGCGAGCGTGCCCTCCTTTTCCGATTCCAGATCCACTAATTCCTGCGGCAAACGATCGTAAACGTCCCTGAATACATCGAATCCCTCATCGTTAGGGGTATGTCCATTAGAAAGTTGTTTCGCTTTACTTAACGCTGCCTTTCCTTCCGCCATGACGTTTGAGTATGTCGTCTTAATGACGTTTAAAGTTTCTTCGGTTTTAGCAAGTAGTGTTTCTAAATCTTTCGACTTATTCTTTAAAAAAATTATTTGTTTACGATTTGTTTCTAGGTTAATTTTATCCAGATCTGCGTCTAATATTACTTTGGAATAGGATTTAAAAGCTTCCTTGATTTCCTTTTGCACGCCAACCAACCGATTAAGAACGTGCTACAAACCAAACTGTACGGAAACTCGGAACAGAACGAGCTTACCTTTATTTGAGCATGAAATTCTCGTTCGATTTCTTCTTTCGTTGCCGGATTCTGTTCCATCTGATGCAGTTTGTTCTTTAATATCCTTAGTCGAGACTCACAAGCATCTATATCTTGTTTTACCTTCTTTAAACCTTGGATATTTTGTCGAATTAACGTCAGACTTTGATTATTTTGGTTAATCTAGTAAATAGTACCACTCAAGTTAGATGTTCAGGTACCAATTTTTGGGGCATATAAAAATTGTCACCAGGAAAACAAGGGAAGTTTCAACTAAATGTGACTTTCATATTGTATACATACCTGTTAGCTTGGGCCAACGGTCATAAGTAAAGCGAAATTCTTTTTCCAGAATATTTGTTTTGGGGAACAGATAGAAAAACAAAATGGTCGACTGTAGTATCATGAACTCGTGGGTATTTTTGCGCGTTATTTATCAATGTGTCTTTGTTTTTTTTAGTTGCCTCTAATCATCAGTCGCAACCTGGAGGTTTCAGAGCAGTTTACAACCATTTTAATAGGGATATAAGGTTACATTTCTTAGTAAGTGTGATAAACTCGTACCTTTGATTTCGCTTATTTTGTGAGATTCCAATACAAAAAAAATTTAGACATCGCCATTTTGAAATGAAAATAATCAGGACAATAAATAAAATAAAGTAAAAAAAGACGAGCATATGACATCTTTATGGAACAATAACTACCTATCGGGTGTGCGCGAACATTATGTCGCTTTGAAAATCATACTATATTTTTATTAATTAAAATCGGAGATGCTAATGTAAATTATTTTTAAGACAGCCATTTTGTAAAATCTAAAATGGAAGCCGTAGTACTTCACGCGCTATAATCTTTAATCTTTCGAAAGCTACAGGGAGTGTGGTCGATTTAGGAGACTTTAGACAGTATTACCTGATTATTCAAACTGCTGACTTGGTCGTCATATTTACGACAAAACTGTTGTACTTCAGTCAATTGGCCACGAATATTTTCAATACGCTCCGCGTCCATAGAAATTGAGAAACTATTGTCGGATTTTATTTCATTTTGCCTGGTACTTTTTTCTCTTGTATATTTTGAATAACTCGTCGAGAACCGATAGGTATCTAAAAATTGAAACTAAGTAACTTGTAAACTTGCACGCTCATCTTACCGCTGAAGAAGTTTGTAATTTGCGGCGGTACACTTTCGAAACGTTGATTTGTCAGACTATTCCCCACAGGAATGTTATGTATTTGATAGGTTTTGCATAAATACTTCATAATCGGTTCTGGTCCGGTGACGAGAGATTTGATATAGGCAAACATTCCAAACGGTTTTAGTTGTTCAATCGGAATTGTCGGCTGGTACTGGTTTATGCTGGATCGTTCCATTCCAGAATGTACCACGTTAACATTTAATTTCTGTTCGTCCCGCAATTTCACTATGAGCGTATTCATATCTTCTTTCAACACGCATGTAAATGCAACTCTGTCTCTGATCGGAATTGTATTTTCGACGAATATCGCGTGGTTGGGATTTAAAACATTCAACTAAAACAAGGTGTTTTCCATATGAATGAGCTATTCTCTATTAATAGGATAATTAAATTTTTTAAAATCAGTGTTTATAAGTGTTGTTTCCCGCGCACTAAGAAATTAATTATCTGGTCACAACACAATTACCTAAACATTTAATACGTGAAATCTAAATAACCAGTCAATAGTAAGATTTAAAGACACACAACTAGGTGAAAAATTCCAAGCAAACAGTAGTACTTTGATATTTCCACACTATTTCACTTGATAACTAGATTTGACTCAGATAATGAGTACTTGAACGTTGTGTTACGGTAAAGCGTCCAACGTCAATTTGATTATTTAATTCGATGACGAGGGGTAAACTGCAGAAAAAATGTGTGTATTTCCCAGGTTTGTTACTAATTCCTGTAATTCATCACCAATTCCTCATTAATTACTCTAATTACTCACTAATTTCCCTTTCAAAAATATTTAATTTTATCCTTTTTACATACATATACATAAATACATTATATATGTAAGAAAAATATTAATTTGGATTATCCGTGCTCCGGATTCGTGAAGTACGGATAATCGAGGTATTTATAGCGAGCAAAATATTTTTGCCCAAAAGGTGTCAAAATTATTATTTATGCACCAATTTGCTTGGAAAAAGACCAAGCTCTATTGCTCGATGCGCAAGAAGTAATCCATGTACACTTTTGATCACCAACATATTTTTGGTTAAAAACTGTCAAAATAAACGTATCAATTTCAAAGGTAGTCTATCCGTTTGCGCATGAGTGGGTTGTGCTGGCAATACCCACGTAATAGTAGTGGTTTTGGTTTACTTGTTTTTATTATAAAACCGAGTACAAACTAAACACATAATACTGTTGTGTAAACAACGTCATGTAGACGTTATTTCGGTATAATCACCAAAAATAATTACGGGACACCCTGTATATGAGAATATTTTAATTGATTAAACAAATGTGGAGGATTGCATACGAATAAACACAAAGTGAATTAATTTTATTTGAATTTGCTGTCTCAGTGTCAATTTTTTCTTTTAGAATTGTTTTCAGTTGCGTAATTTTTTTTGTGTAAAGTTTATTGGGTCAAATGGCAGAAGGGGGTCCGGACGAACAGACAGACGGACAAACAAAACGCAACAATACCACGTTTTTTTAATTCTACACAATATACTAAAAAATGCGTTTTATTTTCGCAGGGGGGGGGGGGGGGGGGGATCAGTGTTCATTGTGAACGTGTGTTTGTTCTATGATTTAAAAGATCAAAACCAACCCATACTTGCCGATATATACCGGGTGATTCATTAGAAGTGATGACAGTTTGAATTTCCCGCAAATCAAAAGAATTATGAAGTTGGTACTAACTGATGATCATTTATTTAATTGCAGTGGTGTGTCATCATGCTTTCAGTAAACCGTTTACTTATTTATAATCTACAAATACTGCTTCTGCTTTACCACAAATTATAAACTAACACTAGACACAGTCACGTTTCTTACATATTTTAGTGCATCAACTCTAAAAATTGTTCAAAATGGAAAAAGTAATAAACTGCAAATAGCACACAACAATTAACGGCGACACTGGTTTCTTAAATGACAGTCATGACAGAACAATAATACTAACGAAATTCAAACCGTCAATTTAATAATGCAAAAAACACTAAAACCTTACGCGCGAAATTCAAGCGATCATCACTTCTAATGAATCACCCGGTACTTCGCGATTACAAAATTATGACACTTTGATCTTATTTATGAAGGGTGACACAACGAAAACGAAACACACTGAATAACTCGTAAGGAAAGTTTTTGGAAAAAACGCAAAAACCCCCCTAAGCAGGGTTGCCACCTCTTCAATAATTTTAAATTGAACATTGAGTCGAGTGACACATCATTAGAAAGGGCTCTTAATTTCCTACACGCCGATGGTTTACTCGGGATTTCGTAATTGTGCGAACTAAATTTTTAGGAAAAATATTCGCCCTAAACATGATGTGAGGTTTTTTTTGTGACAAAATCACACAGGTCACATTTTAAATACTAGCAGGATCCATGTCTTGACAAATGTTAGATCTTAAGATGTGTTTTAAGAGTGGATTTATGTTTGGTGACGAAATCGCACTGGACACACTTTAAATCCTTGTTGATCTTATATGTTAATAAATCTGTTTTATAGTTAAGAATTATAATTTGTTGCATAGTCACACTGGACACATTTTAAATTCTTGGTAGTCTTGTGTTAAAATGCTATTGGGCATGTATGATGTTGCAGTGCGTTTGTATTATGATCACAAATGTCTTTTTGTACTCGAATAAATTGTAAAACAGCTGTTTTTTTTGGGTTATTTACATTCGTACCAAAATTTGATGGTTTCTGCGCAATCATCTTTTAGTTTTGGAACGATCTCTAGTACGTACGCAAATTTTAGGCAGTACACACGCGAGACTTGATAGTACACTCGCAGGACTTAGCAGTGCCATAAATCACATTGGGACGCTCCTTCTTTACACTACTAGGTCTGGGTTGTATTGGTGTTTAGTATTACTGTGGGAAGGTCAACATTATAAAATATAAAGCACGCATGTTTTAGTTGTACAGATTCTGTGCAGTAGGTTTCTGCTGTGATTGTGTTTGGAGCTCCAATGTTTGAGATAAGAGGGCCAGTGAAGTAAAAAAGTACACATTGTATTGAGTAGCACTTTTTAATACGAATACGATATGTCACAAAAAAATTCCTGCAAGAATACTTCAGAATCGTCGAGTTCCATCTGGTCTGAGTCAGTGGAATAGTCAATGCCCTCGTCAATGCCTGTGTAGCTAGACACATGGGTAGCTTCTGTTTAGACTTTCTCATACATAGTCAAAATTCGCTGGGAATGTTAACCTAAAAAATATATAAATAATATATAAAATAAATATATAAAAAATATACTGCGATCCCTATGGAAGAAATTTATTATTTATTATGAATGTTTGATCTTTAGAAATTTTTAACTTTTCATTTGTTTAAATAAAATTTTTATTCATTAAAAAAAAATATTAACAGTGACAACATTGTACACAGCTTTAATTTGATGCCTTCTTTCAACCTTTTTCTATTTTTGAGATTATAAAATGTATTTACTTACTTTTCTTACTGTATAATGAACACGCACATCAATAAATCACCACACTGGCACTAATCCCTTGTGATATTTATCATACTGAGAGTATGATTTGTTCCTTAATTAATTATACAAATGCATTTGACGAACCAAAATAAAAGCCGGCGCGGCGTAATGGGGATCTGCGATAGCAGTTTTATTCGACGCGACGTTGCGCAATCTATTAATTTGCTTCCTGCTTCTTTTAATTCCCCACCAATTCCTCTACTTCCCTAAAGATTGTACACTAAAATTCCCCTGCGAAATACCCCTCGTTCGATGACTACACTTTCATGTGGGCCAACTGAACATAAAATTTCATTGAATCCTAAAATTCAAAAAATACAAACGAAACAAGAATAAATTTTGGTGTATCAGTGTGGTGTTTAAGTTTATTGTTTAACTGTGCACTAACCTCTAGCAACATTGGCTCATAAACCGGACCCTTGAATAACTCTTTATTTTTTCGCAACCACTGAACTGCGGAATACGCATGCTTATCCATACGTCGTAACCATTCCAAGCGCTGCTGTTTCACATTTTCCAAGTTTTCCAGCTCGTTTTCAAGGCAGCGCATTTCGTACGATTTATTGCGTTTGGAATTTTCGCACTCGCCTTTTTTTTCGGTGTCCCTGTTAATCACGGACATAATTCTCCGAGCTTCCTCATTAAGAGATCTAATGTTGTTTTCTCTTTCGACACCTAAAACACTAAATCATTCGGTACATCAAACCAACTGACCTACCGTTCTGTTGCTGCAGTTGTGATTTTTTTTCGTTAAGTTCGGTAATCTCGTTTTGAATTTTTAAAATTTCCTCATTTCTGGTGTCTATTTCTCGTAATTTAGCATCCAAATCGCCTTGAATTTCTACAAGACTCGATTTTACTTTTGTAGAACCGTCCAATTTGCTTTGTACTTCAGTTTCGTGACTCCTTATCACATTGTTCTGAAATTAATTTACACAAACGGTATATTAATCACATGTAACACTTACCACATTTCTAATCCTTTGCTCAATATTTCGAACCACTTTCTCCGCATTACCGATAGTACTTCGTATGGGTTGAAGTGCGGTCCTATGTTGATTTAACGCCTCAGTCGCTCTTGCTTTATCTTGTTTGATATCGTCAAGTTTTATGCGAAGATTTTCATATTTAACCCACGCAACCTTTCGCTCAATATCTTCGATATATTTCGCATATTTCTTCTTTTTGGTTAAATTTTGAACTTTTCCCTCTATTCGACTATTGGCATCCTGTAACTCTTGCAATTTCTTCGCCCAATTTTCCAAGGAAACTTGAATCTCTTTGTGTCTTTCGCGAAAATTAATCAAATTTTGCTGCTTTTCCATCAAATCATTTCTACAAATGGCGACTTGGGTTTGCTGGAGCAGTTGTTGTTTGTTCAATTTTGCAAAATCTTGCACCCTGTCCTGAGGTAAAAATTGGCATAAGTTATCCACTTGTATGTTAAACTGCTGTATGGTCTGTTCAATTTCTTTAAACGGTACTTTTTTCCCATTTAGTTCCCATGTTGTTTTATCGGAAGTATCAAAATGTCTACTGATACATACAGATTCATCCTCATTATGACTATATAAAATAATTCGTATGGTAGCTCGTTCGCAATCGTGCCGCACATACTCCGAAATCTGGAATAAGAAACAAGTAAAGAAAATAAACAAAAGGTTTTGGAAAAAATCAAATAGTGAACGTGTTTAAGTTTTTACAATAGGAGTTCAGTCATCAGCGGCTGCCGCATTCAGAGAAAACAGATGCCAAAGCGTCAAACGCGAAGCGTCAAGCGCGCCGCGTATGACGCATGCGTCAGACGCAGTACAGGAAACGTACCTTTATGCAGAAAAATAAAAGGTAAAAAGCGCTATGGGTTTTGTAGTTTTAAAATATACCTACCAATTTATTGTAAGCGTTAATATAATAAAATAATTAACAGTTAGAGAAATCCCGCCACAAGTACTCAATTTTTTGGTATTTCTCATAGCTCAAACCTCGGCTCAAACTTTTAATGGCGACACGAGAAAGAGAGACCGCGATTAGAGCTCTAAGAAACTTTTGAGTGACCCAAGTCGACTACCCCTTGAAGAAGCGCGTCTTGCAAAAGGTGGTTAATTTTGCCCCCAGAAACAAAACCAAAACTCCGTCACGCAGGAGTTGTGTGCCTTTACAAAATCTTTCTGACGCGACCAATTTGAAAACAAATGGACCAAAACATATCCCCAAGTTAGTATAACACGCTAGGGGATGGCGCCCAGATGTCGGTGACCCTCCGCATGTAGCCCCGTCCCTAAAATTGTTAATTACACGGCCTCGGTAGGGACATGTACACTCCTCCTTTTTCTACAAGCGTTCGTCTACAGGCCCGCATGTGCTGCCAGCCAGCCAGCCAGTCGACCAAAGTGAGATGGAAGGCTACCTTTTTACAAATATTAATAAATTTGCAAAAATGCGCTAAAATCTTTACAGAGAACCGGAAACTCCAGTGTATTTTAGTATGATTGCAACAGATTTTGGATAGTAAGATTTCTAGTGCATATTTCTGAATTTCTCTCTATCACCCATGGCTATTCGTAGCTTTCCAATGAACCGAGGTGTTTGATTATAGGTTCTAGAGCAAATTCGAAGACGTCGGCGGATTTTCAAAGATCATATCCATGGAAATCCTTGGATCTCCATGGATATCCTCGGACATCTGATACGTCTTTGGTGGCGATCCGCTGATATCCAAAGAAGTCCATGGATTCGCACACCAAATGGATGTATGGTGTACAAAATTTTTTCTGCGATTTCCCCCTCGGGCAACTCCTACTAATAATAGTATTAAGGACCGATATCAAACTAGTCATAGATCAGTGCTTCCGGGAAACAGTGAATTTTCGTCTGGATTTTCGTAGATAATTCAAAAAAATGATCAAAGTCCTCGTGTGAGATCGAAGGGACTTCAGCGCATTTTTGTGTGGCAGATCAGTGTTTTATTAGCCAATATTGACTCCACCATCAATAAGATCTTGCCGAAAGCTACCACGTTCACTTTGTCGGTACCATTTTCTCACTTACCGTGCACTCGCAATTCGCGTTTGAAGTTTTGACTCCACCATCAGTAAGATCTCGTCGGGGGTTACCACATTCCCTTTGTCGATACACAGTTCCGACGTCCCGTTCATTCGTAATTCACATTTTGGTAGATTTCGCTAAAATCCCGGCATAAAATCGTATTCAACTTTTGGGTACTTCACATAGCTCGACCTTCTATTAGTGACACGAGAAAGAGAGACCGCGATTCGCGCTGTAAGAAACTTTTGGGCGCCCAAAGTCGACTACCCCTCGAAGCGCGCCGCGCAAAAGGTGGTTTATTTCGCCCCTAGGAAAAAAAACAAAATTCCGCCACGCAGGAGTTGTGCGCGTTGACAAGATCTTCCCGACGACACCAATTTGAAAACAATCGGAGAAAAACTGTAGAAGAAGATAGATAAAAACTGAAAAATCTCCAGGTTAGTATAATACGCTCGGGGATGGCGTCCAGATGTCGTCGACTCCAAATCTTGTAGCCCCATCCCTAACGTTCTTAATTACACGGCCCCGATAGTTACATGTACACTCCTTGTCTTTTTACAAGCGTTTTTCTACGGGCGCGCATTTACTGCCAGCCAGCCAGCCAGCCAAAGTGAGATTAAAAGCTACTTTTTACAAAAAAAATTTTTGCAAAAATGCGCTAAAAAGTGAAATTCCCCATTTTTAAAAGTTCAAATATTTTAATAACAAAGAGAAGAAAAGGTTCAAATAAAAGTTGCAAGATTCGATGGGATAAATTCAATAAAAAAATTCAACTTTTTTAATGGACGCCATATTGGTTTTTTACTCGATAGAGAAACAAACGAGGAATAAAATTACAAAACCAGTGATACTAAACCCTTAGTCGAGCCCTTAGTATTTCATTTAGGAATCAACCTTACATTTTTGCCTCGAAGTTTACAATGTATTTCTTATGGCACCATGGCCATGTCGATGGTGACTATGCGAGACAAACGAACGAATTTGGTTTCAATCATAATCAGCCATGGAATTATTTCCATAAAAAATACATTGTAAACTTTGAGTCAAAAATGTAAGGTTGATTCCCAAATCAAATGCTAAGGGTTTAGTATCACTGGTTTTGTAATTTTTTTCTCTATCGAGTGACGTAAAAATCCAAAATGGCGTCCATTTAAAATAAGGAAGTTGATGCCAATATCTCGGAAACCGCCATTTTAAATTTGACAACAACAAACAACAAATTGACACGCCATATAAAAGAGATATTGAGGTGCCACTCTTATCTTAAAGGCACTGTATATCAACAAAATAAGGAAACCCTCATTTTAATTTTGGCATCTTTTTCTTTGGAAGGAAATTCACCAACCAGTTCTCCTAGGAAAGTCATGATAACTCGAGTGGTAACTCTATGACTTTCCTAGAAGAACTGGTTAGCGAATTTCTTTCCAAAGAAAAGCTCGAAGAAAAGGTAGCCAAAATTATCGAGGAAACGTACATATGATACAGTTGTATTGAAATCCGAGTTGAAATCATACGATTTCGACGTTTTTTAACTTCTACAAACACATCGGAAACACTTACTATACTGTATTCATTTTAAGATGGTAGCGGTAGAAAGCATAGGGAAGCTTTGACCTTCACTGTGATTGGTTAAAACATGAGTCAGTATTACAATGAAACATAAAACGACTGGTGAATTTTGTGAGGTGGTAGTTTATGTTGCCAACTAAACTGCCGAAATGTCATTAGCTGTTATTGTCAAAGGTTTATTTCTGTTCGCAGTGTGGAATATTTCTAGTTTACAATAATTTGGTGCCGTTTTATATTTTTCCTGTGTGTGTGTTTATCTTCACACACAGCGCCATCTACTACCTTCTTATAATGAATGCAGTATAGTTTATCAAAAATGAATAAATAGAAACTGTTCCATATTACATGTTTCTCCACAACGAAATGTGACATAATCAAACCACATCAAACAACACATTTCCCTCGACATTTCCTACATATTTTTTCGATATGTTAAATGCTACACAACACTATACATTTAAATCTACTGATTAACATTTAAATAATTGCATGATGGTTATCATAGTTCGAGTAGTGAAACACACCCACTTGATGCTCCTAGATTTAGGCATGGCTGTGCCTATCTCCAAGTTTGAGTGCTATACTGAGTAACGCACTGATGTCATAACAAATAAAAATGGTTAACTAACAATAATAAAGATAAATAATTGTAAGATACTGAAATAGGTAAAAGTTTGCAGCCTGCCATCAAAAATGTGTTAAAAGAATGTTTTTAATACATTTGTCAACATTTTGCTTTAAAAAGTGCATACCATCTTAAAATACCTACTTTAGTACCACGACCGACAGTTTTCGGGTTTCCTCCTAATCCCAAGATAATTGCAGCAACAATCGTCGATTTCCCACTGCCATTTGGGCCTATTATCATATTAAGATTTGGTCCAGGATTAAGCTCGGCATAGCTATACGTTCTGCAATGAAATAACAATATGAGAGTAGAACATTTCCCCACCAAAGACTTACACAAAATCCTTCACAATAATTTGTCGAATCGAACCAGGTTTGTTCATTGTTTATCGTATAATAACTGTTCACTCGTCCTTGCTCGTTAAATGTTCTCTGAATCTATTGTCATATATTTTACAAAAGCGGATTTTTCACTGATTTTGGTTCAACATAACCTTCTTTGTTTATAAAATTTAGCGCCATTTATCGTATGATAAGCGGTAGGGAAACTGGAAGTGTTTAGTATCTCGCTTTCGGCATTGTATATTTATATACAAAGCTTTCGGTAAGAAAAAAACAGCCATTCGTTTTGTGTTCAATCCATTGTAACCAAAAACCGTTTAAACCAAAATTGTTTAAAAAAACCATTTTAAGTATATTAGTTAGATCATTTCGTAAGATCTCATGGAACATTTTAATACCAAGACACAGTAAACTTTGTGAAATAATAGAGGCAGAGGCAAAAATCTACAGCATTATTAAGGGGTGATAGCCAAGAAGACAAGAAGAAGAAAGAAAATTAGAGGGGTTAAAGACCAGCCTAAAGTTACTTTCGCTTTTTTTTCAAGGACATTCGCTTTTAGGATAGTACCAACATAAATGGTAAAACAAAAAAACAACTAAAACCGGACGCAAGATTTTCATCCCCTGCCAGTGATTTTTGGAAAACAACTCTAAAACTCGAAAAATTCGCCTCGCAAGTTGGCAAATAGCACGATACGTGTAGGGTGTAAATCAAAATTACATTTTATTCAAATTGAGGGAGGGTTTTCTGCGGAGGACTATTCAAGCGTGATAGCACAAGGGCCCTTTTTTAACCCTCAGGTGCCCCACAGTTCGAAAAGATCACCTTTCTTTGGCCAATTGCGCGGTTAACAAATTATAGAAGTTACAGTTTAAAATTAATTTATTAAAATTAAGGGCGTTTTGCACGCGGAGGATTATTGGCCCAAGGGCTCACCTATAAACCCCTATATGTCGTTTTTCGAAAATGCCCCACAGTTCAAAAAATTCGGCTTTTTTTTGTCACTGGCGCGGCATAGGAATTATGAGTGAAAATTTAAAATTAATTAGGTACCTATATGGAATTTATAAAATTACCTTCTTCAAGCTCAAAAGTTAAATTATTTATACCAAAAATTTATTCTCAACAGGTAAATGAAATAGAACTAAACAGACCTATTTTAAAATTCTCTTGGCTATACTTTGTTATCATACTTATTACCTATTTGAAACGAAGAGGTTGCAATAGAAAAAACATTTTAGCAAAAATTGTTATTCGTCCCAATAAATAATAAGAAATTTAACTTAATTTGTACTTATAATAATACTAATTTGGTGGCAGTGTGAATTACAATCTCTTCAGTTCTTGCAATTTGGTTTTCATGTACATATCAATTTGTGTATAGTCTAATAATATATTTCGTACAGTTTCGTGTAGTATCACTGACCATTCTTCATCCAACCTTCTCAATTTGGCGACTGCATTGCAAGTTTCTTCTAACATCGAACCGATATACCCTTTAGCTTTTTGCCTTAGTAATAGATCATCCTGTTTGAAAACGTTTAAATTATCTGATTTAAACAGAAGCAAGTACCTGCGACAGCACACGTTTCCATTGAAGCGCTTCTTTTATCACAACGCTTCTTAACGCAGGGTCGGCTGATAGTAACCACTTTTTTGCATTTTGTTCGGGAATCTTTTGACTAACATCCAATTGCAGTCGAACCAAGAGAGGTTGCAACAAAGTATTCGGAAGGGTCCATAAGACAATATCGCTTAAACTTTGGTACTCTTCGTTGGCGGCGCGAATGTCCTCTTCGCTAATCTTTGCAAAAATTACACAAGCGCATTCGTTTAAAAGGTGAACTTACTTCCTTCCCATTAATGAACCGCAAGCCCCAGTGGGCAAGCCGGTACACAGCGTACGATTGCCAGTTCTTCTGCACAATTGAATTGCCATCAGTTTCGATAACAAGCGACGAAAGTCCCTGAATTTCGGCTAACGCGTTTAACTGTCCAATGTATTGAATATTAGTATCTTTGAACACAAAGCTATCAGTATTAGGAAATCGATGCTTGAGCTTATTTAAGACGCCCACAATTGAATTAAAGTTTATGTAATTAAAATTGACGACAGTGACATCTTTCACCTTCGACATACTCCAGGATTTATCGATGAATCTTAAAGCGCCTTGGCCGTAAATGTTCAACTGGCGACCACATATTTCAATCAAATAATCTCCACCTGTAATTTAAATTAATTTAATGATGTATTACATACAGTGCTATTTCTTTATTATTGTCCCTCTTGTTCTAGGCCCTCAACAGGTTTACGCTAGAGTGACCCGCATAATGCTTAGTTTATGTGTATTGTTTTTCCCTATGTCTACTTTTAAATGACAAAATCTCTTTTGAAGAGCGCCTAATTTTATGCAACCAAAATAACTTCTTAAAACAAATAAAGTCTGGCTGTCACATTAATTAATTTGAATATTGTTGCTTTGGCTTCCGTGCGAGTGCGATGTATTCAACTGAAGTAAAAGTTGATATTGTCAATTGGTATAGTGCCAGCACCAGTTTAAGGAGCGTAAGAGATTTATTTTCTGTTAAGCCAAAGCAACAATATTCAAATGTTTATTTATTTTGAAAAGTTATTTAGGATGCCTAAAATTAGGCGCCCTTCACAAGGAAAATAGGAAAAACCAATAGGTACATGCAAATCCCTATGTCTACTTCTCACTGTATATCTAATAAGGTTACCTTGTTCTCTGTCTTTTTCAAGCTGTGTGTCTGAAGAAGGGTCTTTTTTGGGTTTTGCGGTAAGAGGCCTGCATCGAAGTTTTGACTGGCAAGGTTTTACGACTGCCGCGCTTTTTACTGATCTAGGTTTCGTTGTGCTATTAATACTTTTGTCGCTTTCAGATGTACTTGGTAGCGTGACGTTTGATCTCAATGTACTTGTGGACATCACGCTAGCGTTATCGACTGCAACAGTTTCTTCATTGGAGTTACCATCAGCACTAAAAGAGGTTGTGTAACTGAATTGTGAGTGTGTATGATACTTACTTAACATCGGGAGGGGTTGTTTCTTCGTGCTTAACTATGTCGGTTGGCGCAATGTTACTATCCTCATCGTCTGAGCTTTCACCTGAACTTGAACTCGTACTACTCAATAATGAACTGACTGGACTGTCGACGTTTGGCCCAATACTCGACAGACTTCCTGACGATTTCACAGTTTCTTTAGAGACCACCTCGCTCTGTTGATCCATTTTGTTAATAATGGGAACCAAAATGGGTGGAAGCCGAAAGAATTCATTGTTGGACGTGTTTGATGAAGACGTATTTTGAGAATCTTGCGAAGACGTGCGCGCTAACGAATTTCTCTTATCAAACAAGAAGGGCGTCTTGGTCGCGGTACCAATCACGCGTGGTTTATTTCGCATATCGTTACTTTTAAATTCCGGTTTCGTTAAAGACGTTAATATAAAATCACAGTCGGGCTTAAGATTTCTAGTAATATTAACAGCTGCTGAGGTTTTCGTAGATAGACATTTAGTTTGTGACCTAAGAAGTTCCCAATTCGTCCGCGCGTTTGATATCACCTCTTCTCTTCGCACGTTTAAGCATACGTCGCTCGTTAAATCCATGAAGGCCGTGCTTGAGAACTCTTTGTTGCGCCTCCACGCCATTGCGGCTTTTCGGACTTGATCAGTTATTTGCATGCCATTTAAAATGGTTAGCTGCGGCAGGTAAGAAACCAAAAATGATACACAGTCTCCACCCAATGATATCGGATTGTTATCTACAGCTATTTCCCTTATTGAGATTGCTTTAGCTAAACTGCACATATCTTCCACACTGTAAATAAGAAACGGGAGGCTTTCTTTAAACATTATACAATGGTAGAGGTATGTATAGTAGGCATTTGACAAGAACAGTGGTGCCAAAATAATTAGACAAAGAGCAGATCCTACATGTTTCAGTTAAATATAGATAATAATCTATCTGAATTCATTTTTTCGCGTAGACACTAATGTCAGATAGATAACATCTCTAAAATTGAGTACCTGGAACTCATTTCTGGGACGTGACTAAGGTTCGTAATGCTGGTGACACTGCCTCTCTGTAATTCGTTCCAAACACGACCTAGCACACTAATGCGGCAAGTTGCACAAACAAATAAAACAAATAAATAAATATTAATGATTGACATGGATTTTAAGCATGCTGCAGAGAATATTCCAGAAATACCAATTGACATTGAGGGGTCATGAAAGATTAATCATTGGCGGGAGCGAAGGTGGATATGACACAATCCTTCCGGACGTGTCTACTCCGAAGCGTTCTAAGAACATTTTAGAACAATATTATCGAACTGTAAAAGCAAATTGTAGCCGATTTCAGTTGGTTCCAATCTGAGACAATTTTTTTTTCGGGGCAAAAAAAGGCAGTGTATTTACCTTCCTTTTTTACCAAAAATCGACTAACTGTAACTTTTGAACTAGTAGCCCAATCTTGGAACTGTTTGAAATTATGGATTCTACAGGTCACATTCTATAAGAAATTTTTTTTTCCCGGTCGATCTGAGACAATTTTTTTTCGGAGCAAAAAAAACGGCAGTTTATAACCTTCCTTTTTTTACCAAAAATCGACTACACCAAAATTTCTCGGGAAAACACTTTTTCGTATTAATTTTGGTGCGTAGAATCCAAAACAATTCGTACTTTTTCGATTAGACTTCTCAATCAAAAGTTATAGACTAGAAACCAATTTCGAAAGAAAATTCAAAAGGCTGTAACTTTGGAACTAGTAGCCCAATCTTGGAACTGTTTGAAATTATGGATTCTACAGGCCACATTCTATAAGAAAATGTTTTATTCCCGGTCGATCTAAGACAATTTATTTTTTTGGGCAAAAAAAAGGCAGCGTATAACCTTCCTTTTTTGCCAAAAATCGACTACACCAAAATTTCTCGGGAAAACACTTTGTCGTATTAATTGTGGTGTGTAGAATCCAAAACAATTCGTACCTTTTCGATTAGATTTCTCAATCAAAAGTTATAGACTAGAAACCAATTTCGAAAGAAAATTCAAAACGCTGTAACTTTGAAACTAGTAGCCCAATCTTGGAACTGTTTGAAATTATGGATTCTACAGGCCACATTTTTTCCCGGTCGATCTGAGAGTTTCCATCATCGATGCGTTCTTGGTAAGTTATAAATTGTGAGTGATCAATTGTAATTACTCTTATAAACTAATCAATTTTAAGTTTGCTGCTTATTGTTAATTAATTGTAAATAAATAAAGGAGTTAATAAAATTTGCATTACAATACCTTAAACATTTGTCAGTTCAAAAGGCCATGAGACCCGTATATATAGCATATATTATTAGTGTATATAACATGAAAGACTGACCCTTAATGAAAATGAAAGTACCTAAACTATAATTTAATTAATTAAATCGTCATTTGCAAATGTATTAAAAATGTGTAATTTGGAATCGGATTTGCCCAAAAACGGTAAAAGTGCCACGAAACAAATACTTGAATTAAAAATTAAAAATTATTTATTTTTAATTATAATTTAATTATCTTTAATTAATAATATATAATTAAGACTACCTACTATTCTAATAATAATTGAAAATGTACTTACGCGTGCAGTTCATTATTACTTAGAAACAACTTCTGTAAGCTCGCCGTTTCGCCGAATCCCAATAACTTTTTCAGTTTATTTCTTCTCAGATTGAACTCCTGAAGAGAAATCAAACCTTTCAGGTCCGAAGCGCCGATGTTTTTAATTTGGTTGCCTGCTAAGTTTAAAACTTTCAACTGACTTAAAGGCGATAATCCATTTACGTGCGTAATCTGATTTCCATGAAGATCGAGGACCTCAATTTTCATCAAGTTTTCCAAACCCTCTATTTGTTTTATCCTGGGAAAAGTAAAACGCTCGAAATATTAAAGCTTCTAATTAATTTGAATAAGTTTGAAGTAAAAGAGCGGGCTTGCTTAGAACTTATTTATAGCATGTTGCATGTCAGGGTACCTTTAATTTGCTCTGACAAACCACATTGAATATGAAATGAAGTTAACATTTATTTACTATGTTATGTGTCTGTGCATAAAATAGGTAAAATCGGTACTCTTCATTTTATGCTTTTAAAAAGGTCAATAGCAGAGTAAATTCGGGTTCTCATAACTTGGTTTTCGAGAAATAAAAGCATAATTACAACTTACAATGCACCCATACCTATTCTTTCCCATAAGTAAAACTCGCAAACTTTCCAGTCCATCCAGGCAGTGTATTTTTTCTAACTGGTTATCGTAAACATCTAAAAATACTAAAAAATTGAACCTCTGATGTCTAAACCCATCCAAGCTATTCAATAAATTGTGCTGAAGTGATAATAGTCTTAAATTGACTTCATCGTCTAACACAGGAAGTACGGTAAGACCACGTCTATCCAAACTAATCCTATCTGGATTTTTTTCCTTCTCTTGCGATGTACGAAATATGTGTATCGTTCCATCTGGTAGTGGATGTAGTGTGATGGGTGTGTACATACATTCATTATTCTTGGAAAGACTCGGCACTAATGTACTGTTTGATCTCTTATAAAGCTTCCTCGAACATTCTGGTACCGGAAGTGCGGGTTCGATAGTCAAAAAATTCTTCTCGGAAGGCTTATCGTAATCTGTTGATGCAGCATTTAGGCTGCCTCGAATTCGAAACACTTTTTTCCGTTCCTGTAAACAATTAACATACAAATTTAGCAATCTACTGCAATTTAGTTTTAATTCTGGAAGATGATAATTGATAAGGTTGATACACAGGATCGAAGATGGAAAGCGAGGTGTGCGTTTTCTCATTGCTGAAGGGCCAAAGCCGATCGAGATTCAGCGTAGAATGGCTGCTATGTATGACAGCGGTTTCAGGCACTATACTCAAAAAGTGGTGAGGACGGTTCTAGGAAGCATGCATGACCAGGACAATCCAATGTGAAGATTACGGAAGAGGCCGTGGACGACGCTGTAAATGACAATAGACACGTCACAGAGGACGAAACTGCCAGCATTGATTACATGTCGCCGTGCGATTTCCACTTGAAAGGTCGCCGTTGCCCGGTATGCTATTCCATACAGGGTGTTTTTTTGGGAGCTTTAGTTAAACGTTTCTGGAAAAGTAAAATAGGTATGTTTTTGAAAATTTGTAATTAGAAGTTACTCTGAAGGTCGAATCGATGTAAAATATTTTCAAAATGCCCGCACTTCCGGAAACACCGGAAGTAGATAGTAATTTCGTTATTTTAAATAGCAACCCCTATTTTTTATTGCATTTTTGAAGTCTACGTGAAATTTCAGTTTTTTTGATACCCATATGTCATATCTGCCATTCATGGTTTTTAAGTTATTTTGACTTTAAGAAAAAAAATGTCGGATCCAGATGGTACTTTGATAATTGATTACTTGAAAACGGTTGTAGTCATGAGAACCCATTTTTATCAGTGCCTAGAGAATGAATAGGGCTTTTTTTAGTGTACTTAAAAAAAAAGTTAAGTTGCGTACGACCGCCCCTATGGAGATGCAAATTTATGAAACTTCAAAGACTAAAAACTCAGTTTTTTTTAATGGAATGACCATTTTCTTTGACAATACATGTTCCTATATAGCTATCTTTAGCAGTTTCTGACTTATTGAATTGACACTATTTTTTTCGGATTTTCTTTTTAGTAGTCGGCCATGATTTTATAACAATCGAATTTTAAACAAATCTAGTGACACCAATCCGTCACCTACTGTTATAGGTTAACATAAGTCGATAAGTTTTTCAAAAATCGAAAAATGACTCGCAGTGGTTTCGCCTATTTTGGAATTTAATTGTTATTTATGGTGAAATGGACAGGATCGCGGCAAGTGCTTGCCGTACATTCATTCGAACACTGGAACGAAATTGTACGAATTTTAGAAATGTCTTGTACCCCCAAATGCACTACAAACCGTTGAAGCACAAGTGATACAAAGCTCTACAAGAGAATATTTAAGAAAATGAATTGAATTGCAAATGCAAGATTAACAAAATAAATTCAATGTAAAATATAAAAAACTTCGTTGAAACATTTTTGGTATGCAATTGTTGCTAGAACAGATATCGCATTACCTCTCTTAATTTCCAGACTTATGCGTTGTTTAAGAAATTCAGTTGAACGACTCTGTCTGTCTAGATTTTTCAAAAAATTTCCGTCCTATATCCTTAACAAAAAACTTATTTATTAATGAATCATTTAGACTAGAATCAATGATATTAACGAATCCATTCCTTGATTTGTTTAAAATTCGATTGTTATAAAATCATGGCCAACTACTAAAAAGAAAAAATGGCATCAATTCCGAGATCAATTAAATGAAATAGGAATAAATCTGAAACTGTTAAAGATAGCTTAATAGGAACATGTAATTTCAAAATATGCCAATTTCGATTCTCTATCTCATGCAATAGTAAGAACATGGTCATTCCATTAAAAAAAACTGAGTTTGTAGACTTTGAAGTTTCTTAAATTTGGATTTCCATAGGGGAGGTCGTACGCTACTTAACTTTTTTTTAAGTGCACTAAAAGAAAGCCCTATTTGTTCTCTATGCACTGATAAAAATAGGTTGCCATGACTACAACCGTTTTCAAGTAATCAATTATCAAGGTACCATCTGCATCCGCCATTTTTTTTCTTTAAGTCAAAATAACTTAAAAACCATAAATGGCAGATATCGACATACGGGTATCAAACGAATTGAAATTTCACGTAGAATCCAAAAATCCAATAAAAAATATAGGTTACCATTTAAAATAACGAAGTTACTATCTACTTCCGGTGTTTCCGGAAGTGCGGCCATTTTGAAAATATTTTACATCGATTCGGCCTTCAGAGTAACTCCTAAGTACAAATTTTCAAAAACCTACCTATTTTACTTTCCCAGAAACGTTTAACTAAAGCTCCCAAAAAACACCCTGTATATAATCCTGTAGGTCTATACTTTATGAATCAATTAAAATTAAAACTATTGTTATTTCATACTTCTTATAGTCGTTCCTGCGGCGATTTCGTACCGCCTATTAGTCAATATCGTGTATCTATTTTTTCCCGTTCCCGTGGTAATTTCTGGAAGTGCTTTCGGATCTAATATACATAAAAATCTATAAATTGTATTCTAATGATATTTGGCATCGTAATTGACCATAAGAGCCTGTAGATACTGTAAAGCCAAGGTAAGACGGACCATAGAAACCCCGTTATTACTTTTAAACAATTAATACAAAAAAGTCAGAATTCAACCTATAAACACGAAAAGGCATTTGTATTGAGAATACCCACGCGAGTGGGTTTTGAAGCATTTTTTACTTTGTGTTTATTACTAATAATTCATTTAATTTACTCCCGGTAGTACTCGTATTTGAATGGGTAACCACTCGAAAACTTTCCTAATTAATAAACAGTCAAGTCTTGTGCAGATAAAGCGCATTTTTTTAAACCGAAATAGCTTATAATAAATAGGATTGGGTGCTATCGATGTTGACCTACTTTCTTGGTAGATGTTTAATGGGGAAGAGGCTGACAATCCATTCTGCAGATATTTGCACTAGTCTATTTATTTTACCTTTGAGAGCGCTTTCCTCCGACAAACCGTTTTCGAAGTAGGTATTCGCTCTTAAAGTTTTGACATCACCAATGGATATATTTCTTCCAAACTTCTCCCTTTTTGTGAGTACCCCCTTCCGACAATCCATTCTGGAGATATAAGGGAATTTATCCGAACACGATATGGGGTCAAGAACGACAATGGTTTCTGTTCGTTGAGACCTTTCAGTAGAGGACCATGAAGGATAGAACCAGTTCCACTCCAGCCTACAGCTCCAAACAGTCTGGATAGCCATTTTTGAAAATTGAACAAATCTTAGAAGTTTCCAAATGTCAAGGAAAATAGAAATTGTTAGAATACGATTAAAAACAATCAGTAATGTGGTGGCACAAATTAATTATGATATCCATTTATTTTTTTTGAGATATTTGAGAAAAACCGTTTTTGTCGGCCATCTTAGGAAGATGGCGGCAAGTTTTGAATTGTGCATTTTGTGAATTTCAGCCGATTTCAGCGATGCTCAACGCAACTCAAATGCGATGCGACGCTTTCACTCTGAATATTCCTTAAATAAATCACTAAATATCATATCGTAAAAAAATACAACAGTGAACCAATATCACATTTTCTTGAGAAAATGGACTTAATTAAAAGAAGAAAAATGGCGAGGGAGTTGATTCCCACTGTAATAAAGATTCGTCACGGTGCAACGGGTGGGAAGGGTTTACTTTAAAAATTATGCTTTATAGCCCAGTCAATTTAGACCAAACATGGGCAATCAGAGGAACTAAAATTACTAGTTCCAATTTTTTCAGAAATGTGTAGGGAGAGGTTCCCTGAACAAGAAAAAATAAAGTCCCTTCAAATTCCGGTGCCGCTAGGGGAAGGAGGGGGCTTTAAACGACCCATTTTTCAGTTTTTCGCTTTTAACTCGAAAATGGTGCGTTACAGTGAAAAAGTTCTTCAGTACAAAATGAAAGCTTATTAAATTTGCTACAAGTTTGGTTATATACATTTTTTCGAAAACTGAACCGTTTAATGGTATTAATGTCCTCGTACCCATCGAATACAACTGCACAATTGGAAGAATAGTGATTTATTATATATATGAAGCATACTACTCACAGATGAAAGAGAAAGTGGTCCCAACATTCCACTTGATTCTGTGAAAGAGAAAGCCACCGTCCACTACAGTGTAAATCGTTTTGAGGTGCACCTGCATCCATGCACACAGGGAAAGCGTCATAGAGAGCAGATTTCCTGAAGCATCCTTCGTGGAATAGTCATGGGGTATGGAGATAATTCGTACTTCAGCAGGTTCGGACTATAGGGATGTTAATGATGTACAGGTTTTATTGTGACGATTTTCCCCTAAAATGACCGGGGGAGGATTTAGAAGCCAAAAATATAGGAAAAACGTGAGTGAAAAACAATTTTGTTTAGAAATTACCACCCTTCCGGAGTCGTTAGCACGAAAACGGTTCAGGTTTTCGTACAGATGTATATAACCAAACTTGTAGCAATTTTAATAAGCTTTCATTTTGTACTGAAGAACTTTTTCATTGTAACGCACCATTTTCGAGTTAAAAGCAAAAAAAAATGAAAAATGGGTCGTTTAAAGCCCCCTCCTTCCCCTAGCGGCACCGGAATTTGGAGGGACTTTATTTTTTCTTGTTCAGGGAACCTCTCCCTACACATTTCTGAAAAAATTGGAACTAGTATTTTTAGTTCCGATTTTCCTATTTTGACTGGACTATTATTGACATGTTTTAGGTATTGAAAGAAATCCCCCTCTCGGTTTTTTTTTCTGAAAATTAGACAAAATGGACACCGGGATGTCGATATCATAGGAATCTCGGAAACCATAGAAATTGTTCAAATTGGGGAAGTTGTGCAATTAAAGAGAAGAAAACCACAAAATTCAGAAGATATGCCAGAAAAACTGAAATTTCCTGATTTTGTTTTTATTTTTGTTTGATGTTATGAACAAATACAAAAAAATAAAAAACACTTTATCTTATTGCCACTTTTTGAGCGCTACAAGGCAGCAATGATAGATTTTTAATACGTTACGTTTTATTTTTAACTTTATTTTTTTATATGGCGTGTAATAGTTATTTACATAATAAGTAATGAAAGTGGTCGTTTACATGACGCGGAGGTTTATTGAAAAGTACGAGGACGCGGCCGAGTATCTCTTTAATGTCTCCAAATCAGGTGGACTCACTTTCATGACGTATTATGTATAAAATTTTACTTGAAACCGCAACATTTAGGTAACATTTCCAAATTAAATTAGTCATATGTGTGAAATTTTGATACCTAATCACGCATGATAAAATCACTTTAATTGTTTCCGTAGAGATTTCAAAATAATTAAAACAATCAGTGTCATTTTTAATGCAGTTATACTTTTCAACTATACAGTCTTTATAACTAGGTACAAAAGCAGGTGTCAGTGAAGAAGAGTAGACGTTGTTATAATGTAGCCGAAGCTGCGACCGCCGTAGTGCAATATTCGCTTCCCACAAAGTCAAGAAAGAGGTACGAAAAGGCGTACAAACCTTTTAATGACAGGCGCAAAACTAAAGGAATAATTACTTTCACACATATTCCATTAATTGTTATAGTAATTAAATTACATTTCAGGTAAAAATATATACTGTAATGAGTAGCATTTTTTATTACAAATAGAACGATGTACAGCACACACAAAAAACATATATTGGAAACTGTTGGTTTCAACAGGATGGTGTATCCATGCACAACACCCTAATTGTGTGAGAATACCTATCAGGCAAATTTCCTGGAAAATTTCTCTCAGGTGATTCCACACCCATTGTTGAAATTGTCTATTATAGGTAATAAACTAAAGCCTAAAGACAATAGTAAGCAGGTACCTAACTGGAAAATGTTTTGAATATGTTCCGGTAGCAATGATCAATAAGGTCTTCACGAGTGAACAAAATGTTGATAGTTTTTCCATACAAGGCTATGCCATAAGCACAATATGCAGGAAATGACAATTTTACATCTGTAGAGTGCAAGAGTAAATCCCAGATAGTTAAAAGTCAATTCACTCATGCAGTTGGTACTGAAGACATCGTGCAATCGTTTAAGCTATAAAATATACGAACCGTCCTACAACAAGAGGCTTGCTAAAGAGTGTCAAGCGTGCTATCAACTAGGCAGACAAAGTGTAGAACGGGGTGTAGAATGTGACTTGAAATAGAACTACCCTTTCTATTGAAATATTTACCAAAGAGGCACCACTACTGCTTATTGGCATTTACATCTGTTTCAAATACTTTTTTAAATCAAACTTCATAATTGAATGATAAATTAAATTGAATATCATTTAGACATTTGGGTTATGTAAACCATTTTTGACTGTGGTTCTTCACCAACTTCACAATCACTGTGGCTCATGAACCGATATCGTAAAGCAGTTTAAAAAAAAATCATGTAGAGTTGGTTGCCTACCATAGCCATCCATTCCATGCATTTGATCCGTTTTTTTGTCAGTAGACAGCCCATATGTATACATTTAAGAAAATTTCCCCGTGTGTAGATACTAGTGCGAATTCAGAGAGTTTTGGGTTATTAGATAACCGCGTCAATGTTCATTAACATGAAATTGAGACCCACTCCGAGAATTTGCAATATATCAACAAACATGGGATCCTATATGCTTCTCCAACATTCATCATAGAGTGAGGGCCCAGAAATATCAATTGGCAACTAAGTTCCATATCCCTGTTCAATGTTGTGTTACATAACTATAGGTACCTACTTGAAATTATGAAATACAGGTTCATTCAAAATTCTTATAAGCTCAGTAAAACAAACATAATTTAATTATGACCAAAACATTAAATTTACATCTGAAATTAGAACCCTAGGCTAAGCAACATCATAATTTTATTCTCTTAGTATAACTACAAGTACCTACCAAAAATTTACTTTAACATATTTATTCGTGCAAGCTGTGTGTTCCTCTTAATTGCCATTTTACGCACCCGTCTCCAATATTCTTTTGAATTAGGATCAAGTTCTTCTAAAGGTGGTGGAGGTCCAGTGCGAACATCCCATAGCCAAGTAGGATACTCGCTATCCGGTAACAATTTTACATCCTCTCCAGTTTTAAAAATATTAGTCCCGCATGCATAGTTAACTAATCTTTCAGGATCAGTCTCCACTGGCAATACTCGCTTTTCTGTCATGGGCCCTCCTTTACCCCCTTTCTTCTTCTTTAAGGCACCACCCAAAACTAAATTAAGATAAGAATAAACTGCAATGATTCAAAATCGTCGTTATTACCTGTAGCTTTTGCATACGTCATTCTGGAGAAGGAGTTGATTAAATTAAATCTATTACCTTTTATAAGTTCTTTAAATATGTGCATTTTCAGAAAATTAAAAATCTAACCTATAAAATTGTATCAGATGGCCGTGGTTCAATGTCCGTTCGTAAACTCCATAGACACGCATACAGGGTACTACTTTTGTTTAATAATGAATAAATAAAAGTACATAAATGGTGGTTTATTTATGACAAAAGTACGACCGATATTGTACAATACACATTTTATTGGTTGTACACACCAATAAATCAGTATAATCAATGCTTAAATCTTTGCTTCCGTAAACTGTGGTCACTGTAACGTTCCACTACATACAGGGATCGTAAATACATGCTGTCTTGTCGAAATTCTAACCTTACAAATTTACTACATTTATTACGAGTTCTAACCACTTTTCCCAGCTTCCAATTTGTTTATAATGGCTGAAAGTTTATCAGATAAAATCGCAACCCTTTTAAGTGCGGCGCCTACAAGTTTTGATCCCGAAGATGATGTTAATGAGGAAACTACTGCAAGGGTAGAAAGTCAATATGCATCAGATGATGACAACAATTTATCCCAGAATCTGAGTCAATTTCGTAAACAAAACGTTGAGTTGCTCGAAGAGGTTGATAAACGGTACGAAGGGAAACGAGCGAGTAGAAAGAAACTTACACAGTACGATGAGTGGGAATCTAAAAGCGAGGATGGTAAATCCTCTGAGGGTAAGTTTTGGGTAATTTACGTATAGTATTTTGCAACTGAACTTTTAGAAACTGAGGACAGTGGTGACGAAGAATCCGCTGGTGAAGAAAGTGATGCTACGGAAGAGTATGATGATGAAGTGTACGGCGAAGATAGTGGCACTGCAAACATTTTTAAGAATGCAGAGACGGTTTCGACAAATAAAAGTACTTGCGTTAGACAACAGCTCAATACTTGGGAAAGTTTTCTAGAAATGCGCATTCAATTGCAAAAGTGCTTAATAGTGGCGAACAAACTGCCACAGGGCGCCAACTTTGAGCAACTGAAAAATGATGCAGATTTCGATGTTGAGTCGAGAAAAGCCGTTGGTACAGTTAAAAATTTATTAGACAAACTTCTAGAATTGCAAATGTTGCTGTTAAAAAATTATCCAGAGACAAAGAAACTGTTCTTGAAACCAGAGGTTAAAAACAAAAGTGAAAGTGATGAAGAAATTCCCAGTGATACAGATGAAGAAGAGTTATCTGAAGTGCCTTGTAGAAAGAGAATGAAGACAGACGAGTATAGTGCCGAATTAACCAACAGGAGTGATTTGTACTATAATTATCGCAACTCTGTCTTGCAAAAGTGGCATGACAAGACACAAATTGGTGTAAACAAATCGGGTAATGTGGTTCATTCGGTTACCGAACAGATCAAACATATTTTAACCAGTAAGGAAAAGTTGATTAAAGCAACACAGTTAAAGAGAACCGACTATGACATATTAGGTGAACATTCTGATAAAATTGCAGAAAGTTCAGTAGATGTGTACAATACAAATATATTTGATGATACCGATTTTTATCATCATCTATTAAGGGAACTGATTGAATTTAAATCGTCCGATTTGACTGACCCTGTGAAATTAGGCAGGCAATGGATGCAACTGCAAAGTTTAAGAAGCAAAATGAAGAAAAAGGTTGACACTAAGGCAACAAAGGGTAGAAAAATTCGATATGTTGTACATTCAAAGTTGGTGAACTTTATGGCGCCCGTTGAAGATCTCACTTGGCAGGAAAGTGCAAAAAATGAACTTTACGGTTCGCTGTTTGGAAAAAATCAATCAGGCAGCAAGATTTCAAGTTGATAATAGTATTAATACTCAATTTTTTTGTGACGCATTTAGAAAGAGGTGGTATTTTATAGTGCTATCAATCAACTTTTTGATTCTAAGGCTAATTGTTGAGATCAATTGTGGTATTTTGAATTATGTTTGTAAATATAATTTATTTGAAAATACTGAAACTGGTTGTTAAATTATTATTAGATGAGAAAAGGTTGGATGAAATTTCACTTTGGTCGGATGGCTGGCAGGCTGGCAGCAAATACGGCCCTTAGAAGAATGTTTGTAGAAAGAGGGGGAGTTTTCATGTACCTACCAGGGCCGTATAATTAACACCTTTAGGGATGAGGCTACATGATGTGGGGTCGGCGATATCTGGGTGCCATCGCCGAGAGTGATGTACTAACCTGGAGATTTTTCAGTTTATTTCCTATTTTCTTCTACAGATTTGGTCAAATTGTTTTGAAATTGACAAATGTAACAAGCTTGTGCAAAGCGCGCGTCTTCGAGGGGTAGTCTACTTCAGACGTCAAATGTATCTTGCGCTGCGAATTTTGTCACGCGGTTTAAGGTTTATTAAAGCTCGAATCGCGGTCTTTTTTTCTTGTAAATCCACTGAAATGCAGAAATGCTAATTGTAGGTGAACGGGACGTCGGAAGTGGGTATCAAGTATCAACCATAGGAACGTGGTTGCGCCCGACTCCACGACCCCGAAAAAATCTTACTGATAGTGCAGTAAAAATTTCAAACGCCTATTGCGGGTGAACGGGAAGTAGGAAGCGGGTGTCGACAAAGGGAATATGGTAGCCCTCGACGAAATATTACTGATGATACCATCAGTGAAAACCTCAAACGCGAATTACGGGTATACGGGAAGAAGTCGGGAGCGGATACCAACAAAGAGAATGTGCTATCCCCCGACAAGATCTTACTGAGGGTGGAGTCAACATATCAAACGCGAATTGCGGGTGAACGGGACGTCGGAAAGTGGGTACCGACAAAGGGAATGTACCTAGTTACCAGGTTATCACTCACGTTCGCCACGCTGCCGCCGCCGTTGGGACCGTAATTATTTGGGATAATTTTCCTCACCAGTTCTGCCCATAGCTACCGGCTATTTAAAATGACGCCCGCTGAGAAACTGGAGGTTCTATAAATGAAATTATCGTTAGCAGTTTGCCGGCGGAAAGAGTAAAGCGTAATAAGACGGTGCGTAGACTTTTTCGCCTCCGCTGTGCAGATATTATTACAAAAATAATTTCATCATTCATCAAAAATCACTCTAGTATTATTGTTGCCACTTTACTCGCATCAATAGCTGAAGATGCTAACGCAGAAGTTGCCGTTAAAGAGAGATTTTTATGTTTATATCGAAAAATTTGATTATTTATTAGCCTCGGTAGAAAAGAGAGAAAAGAGTTTATAGGTCATCTTCCTTTGACTTCTGCGAATTATCAAATCGCATACGATACCTTAATTGAGAGATAGAGCAATCCCCGAAAATATGCCCAGGTTCACTGGACTGAAATGGAGTCGACTATCACTGTCCCGCCAGCCCCAAATGACCCTCAAGCCCTCAAGAGAAAAAGAAATTGTTCTGATTTCTTATTAACGATGATGCTTCTAAAATGATTAGATCAGGAAACAAAATGGCGCTTTGAACTGAATCATCGTTCCTCTCTTGTGCTTGTGCTTACGTACTTATGACTTGTTAAATTCCTGTCAGAGCACTGCTTTATAGCGCTATGATAATGGCCCATATGAATAAAAGGGAGCATATGCTTATACTTGCAAAATTCATAGGAAATACTCTAAGTGTCCCTTCACACTGTGGCTAGCAGCGCTGCCCTGCGTTCCATTCCGCTGCTCGCCAGCGCGGCTAAGTAGCGCTGTTAAGTCGCCCAGTGTGAAGGGACCCTTACGAGTATTTATTTTGAATTTTGCAAGTATAAGCATAAGCTCCCTTTTATTCATATGGGCCATTGTGGAGGAAGAAGAAACAAAAACCCTGATCCTCAAAGCGATTCCTTGTCTAAAATCAAAGATACATCTCAACGCACTCGCACTCGCTCTAATCATGGCAACTCCTTATAGGTTCGGGTTCGGGTTCGGGTCTTTCTTGCAAAACCGTCGTTTGAAAGCGGTGCCTTTTGTAAGTCTCGCCACTTATGTTTTAATTGCCTCAGTTGCACATGATTTGAGGTCATGTCGTAGTACCCAATGCTGCCGTTATTGTTCTTCGAAAATGCATAACAGTTTCCTCCATTTTGACGCCATTCCTCCAATCGCAATAGCTCCAAGTGGCCCAGTCAACTTAACCGTCGCGTCTTCCATGACCATGCCCAATTTCACCGAATTGGTACTGTACCAATGGAGTCTCTAAGACTAGGTTTCGCTGACCACACTACATACTTCTAGCCACCCCAATTATTGATATCATCGATTGCAAGTAGGGAATGCAATACCGGGATCGCGGGATCCCGAAATACCGGGATCCCGCAGCATTTTTGCGGGATTATTCCCGCACATAAATGGAGCGGGATCCCGCGGAATTCGCGGGGCTGAGGAATTTGTCGACCAAGGGGACGACTGTTTACTTTGTTAATGAAACGCATAACGGAGAAGTTATTTTTTAAATAATTGTTAAACTTTTTTCGTTAAAATGCACTATATGATTTTTGAGGCACTTTAGAAGTTCACCTTTTTGTGCTTTACAGGTGAGGTTTTTTTGAGCTCTAAGTTAGGCTGAAGGTACTTTTTTGTTAAATATTGTGATAATTAGCGATTTATTTTAATACAGAAGTTAACCGCACAGAATTGCTTATTTGGCAATTTATTTAAAGTTTTGCGGGATCCCGCGATCCCGGTATTGCATTCCCTAATTCTAATCATCAATTTCGTACGGCTTCTGTCGCACCAGCGGATAACACCTGCGTCGTTTATTGGCGATCTATTGACTAACAGCATTGGATTGGATATTCAATGGTGTATCTTAAACCCCTGTTTTCGAGTAAGTTTGGCCGTCCTTAGGGTGTCCTTCTCAAATTGTTCTTCATTGGATAAAGGCCTCGCCTCATCGCTGGAAGACCTTTGTATCTCGTAGGGTAGCCGTTATTCAAGAACACCTTTCGACAGACAGTTTGGAGCATTGATACCGCATCAAACCCCGTTGATGTTGCTTTAAGGGAGCATATTTACCTACCTCTGAACTTACTGCTCAGTCTACTTGGTTAACAGGACCAAACTTTAATTCTGTACCGTGCCGAAGACTATCAATGGCTTTCGGTGGGTTTGTTCTCTCGCAATAATTTTCCTATACCTAGATGTAGAGGAAAAGGGGACTGCATTTCTAGTTATACCCGGAGAATCTTCTTCGTTTAGGTACGGTCCTTCAAAATGTTGTATGTTACATTCGTCATCATTTTCACGTTAGTTTCTAAAACACGCACTTTATATTGCCCCAACAGTTTTGGATTTTAACTGCTAAACGTATAGGTACTCTTAATTCACGACTTTCCAAATGTATACGATCCTGGGAGGGATCGCCTTCTTCCTTTCAACCCCCGATGGTAACTTCCCGCCTTCAAGGGTGTCTCAAGTGAAACCATTTCTACCGTCTATAGTCGATTTTGCAGGCCCTTCAATGACACGATGTCGCGTCATCGAGGTAGAGAGCCAGTAAAGCTTATCCTTTGAATATCTTATCTGAGTAGGTATCTTTGTTGCGCTACCAAAGCCGTTGGAATTGTGTATAGTGATCTTACATCATTTGAACATCACTAAAATTTTATCCAACCCTTAACCAAAAATCCCCAACCCCTGTAAAGCACAAATACCGGGCAGGTTGTGAAAGATTGTAGTAAGAACAGTCTGAATGTAGGAAATAGGCTACAGGTAAGAAAAACAACACACGTTTATTGATTGTAGGTATGTGTTAACATCAGTGGTTCAATTTTTTTAAGAAAGATAACGAAAATAAAAATTTATTGTATTTAATACTTAACAACTTCTTTTAACATTTCATTAGTCATTCCCAATCAATAACCTGATGAATTATTTCACAATAGTTGCTGACATTGGATTGGAACAGAAATGGACTTTTTTAAACTACTTATTATGTGTATCGCCATCTTGTTCAATATGTGGAGTATATTCTTGTGATTTCCTCCACAACACCGTACATTTATTGTTTCCTTCAGGTCTTCTAGTACTACTTCTCTGTCGATATGAAGCATCTGTAACTCTACCCTGAAAAAATAGAAAGCTGTATACAGACGGTTTCAACGTTCACCATTGGCATCTCAGTTATTAGTTCGATGGTTTCTAATAAACTGAGATACTAAAGAGGTGGGCATTGAAATATAGACACATGGTAGGTATGCGGTTCAGTACTATTTTATTTTATTTTTTACGCTGTTTTTTTCTATGTAATTATGTGGTACTGTACTACTATAGTCGTACGTTCCTATTTTCCTATGGATTAATTTTATATACATTTCTGTGTACCGTTAGTTAGCATACATTATTCCTCCTTAACAGGTTATGACCTGCATCTGTAGGTATATGGAACTCAGTCCTACTGAATGCTATACTTTCAACCCCCCTCCCCCTCATCCTCCTTTAGGCTCGAGTACGTGGGGTTTGTTTTGCTTTGTTTTGCTTTGTTTCGTTTACTGGACCGTTTATGCTCGCATGGTTGAAAACTATTATAACGTAATTGTAAAATGCAAATTGGAAGAGAAGTATGAAATCAATTGAACACATTTTCTTGAAGGTTTTCATTAGCTCTTTTTCTTTCCTTGTAATCAATGAAAACCCTAGAGCTACTCTCGGTTGTGAGAGGGCAACCTTTATTTGAATGTTTGAACGTTTTAATTAATTTTCATTTTCCCTAATTTCTTGGTTCCTTGTTGAATCGATCCGACACACACAACGTACCTACGTCCTATCAATAGACAGGTTTGTTACTTAACGATCATGTGCCGTGGGTAGGGAATGCAATCCTGCAGCAAAATCTCAATCCCGGTATTTGCGGGATTGTTAGATGTTAATCCCGCGGGATCCCCCAAAACTTTAAATAAATTGCCAAATAAGCAATTCTGTGCGGTTAACTTCTGTATTAAAATAAATCGCTAATTATCACAATATTTAACAAAAAAGTACCTTCAGCCTTTAACTTAG